GAGGTGTTCAAACACTTGCAAATGGCTGTATTTTCAACGTAATATATAGCTGCGAGAAAACTCTCTTATATCTCCATTTTTGTCTTTTTTTTGAAAGCTCACTGCCCTGTACATGGTTTAAAAAATTAATGATGAACTGACCAACAAGAAATAGTTTTATTTGGGGAAAAAGTCTCGTTACATTAACTTACATTAGCCACGTTTGCATGCAGCCTAATAATCCGTTTAGCAATCCGACTAATAGCTCAACCGGAATAGAATACGTCCATGTAAACACCTCAATCGGAATAGTCTAGTCTCATTGAGGCCATTCGGAATACAATACCTATCCGATTGAATGAGGTGGGTAATCCTGTAAATAATCCGTTAAATAGAAGAATAATAACCATGTAAACCCCTGTATCCGATTACATTCCCAATCGGAAAGTTTAAGTACGTTCTGACCATGTTCGTCACATCATAGCGAAAGTTTATACTGTTCAACATGGCAGGAGCAGAAACTGGTCTGCAGAGGAGACAAAGTTTATGCTCTGATCTTTAAAGGACGGCGGTGGGACGGACGTCCAGCTTATGTGTCTCAGAACACGACGTCTTCCTCTCGGCCTTCTTTAATAAGGACATGTGAAGTACATTTTCCTGAATCTGACATCATTTTAAAGCAATTAAAAACACAATCACTGCTCACTGCTGCTCATCTCACTCTGACTGGACTCACGTGATGCTAGTTGTCATGGTAACGTCTACACTAAGTGGATCAGATTGCTTGTAGTGAGCATGTAAACTGAGATTTTCCATTGTTTTCCAACGTTGAGTAGAGTGGGCATAAACACCTCAGTCTTAATATATAATTATAATGTATTTAATCAGATTGGCAAAAATCTTTGCGTGTAAACACAGCCAGTGTAAGTTAAGAATGTTTTTTCGTTCTCCTGTAAAGATGCCATTTTGGAGATACAAGCAACAATACACTGAATTCATTTGTCCTTCCCTTTAATCTGACCATAAGCCTAACCCTCACCCTGGTCCAAATCAGCTATATTGAGAGTCACCAAAAGAGTTTGCTAACAATCTGAACATCTGTAGGTTTTCTATAGGGGCTACAGTGTACTATCCAAATAAACAACAGTTATAAACATACAGATTTAGAAACAAGTCAGCCATCTCAAGAATAAATATATACGCTGACAATCAGGATATAGTCGTATAGTCAACCCCCGGTCAAGGGATGTGTTAAAGATTTCCTCAGTAAAAACAAGTTAACACATCCTCTAGAGAACTACTGTTTATTTGCTGAATTTAACATGAAATAATACATGAAATGTGGCCGGTGCAAACATTATGGCACATTTTATATTCTGTATTCTTTTTTCAACGTTAAAATAAACAAAAAAGTACATATTTTGCACTAAAATTTAAGGTTGTTTTCTGTAGAGGAGGTGTTCACTTATTTTCCCTTCAGATCAACATTAACAAAACATCACTTGACTGGGGGTTTTCAAATTTTGCAGTGTTACCTAATTTGTTCTTTGCATCGTCACATCCCTAATGAAGACAGATCACAGTGAAGAGCTTCAAAAACATTTAGGCTCAGTTTAAACATAATAAGCTGAAAAAATAAGAAAAAATTTGGTTTAAGGGAATCTCAAAACACAGACTGCATCAATGTCACTAAAACATCTTTAACATATGGTCACTGTCATGTCATAACACCATCATTTTTCCCATTTCTGTTATTATTATTTTTGTTATTTTGGGATTTTTTTTACCCAAATTTCTCCTTAGTTTAGTCCTGTCCAACATAGGAAAATGCTGACAGCTAATTCTATTATATCAGCTAACAGATGGCTGTTGTGGCTAGCAATGTGCTGAAGGATGGGTGGAGAGGGAGGGCCATTTCCTCCCAAATTACAATCTCTTGGACTTCATGCCATAAATGGACGGACATTTTTAAAATATATTTAATTGTCGTTTGCTGTCTTCTTCTGAGGGGTGAGAAAATGTACGTTTGTTACTGAGAAATCGAGGAAAAAGTCAAATATGAATGTCATTTTTTGGTTTTGCATATGATAAAGTAGAAGCGTTAGCAGTCATTACTCAGCAAGCAGTGCTCAGCGGAATAATACAGTTGTTGTGCTGTTAAAAAAACTGCTGTTATCACAATAACAGTATGGCTAGAACACTTCTCAACCATCAGATTATGGCACTGGAACTACCTCAATGGAAGTTTGCGAGTTCAGACCGTTCCTTCAACATGGTGGTGGTAGTATGAGGGAAGACTGACTGAGGGATGGGGAGAACTCTGAGAACCTGGGATGTGGTTCTGGGTGGCTACTGCCTGTAGCTAGAAGGCCGGACCCCCTTGTAACTGTGGTAGGACTGTCATAGGACTGAGGCACAGGGAAGAGATGGGGTGGTGGTGGGGACTATGAGAACTTGGTCATGGGAAACGGAAGGTAAGGATGTGAATTTATAGGGCATTGAACTGGATCTAGAAGGGGTTTCGGTTGCAGGCATGTTCCTCCCCGCAAACTGCAGTTTTTCCATAACTCTGTTTAATGTAACAAGATTTCATTCCAAGTTAATTTGGACCAGAGTGAAAATATAGTACTTCAGCTGAACACCAAGAAGACTTATGAAGACTTAAGAAAAATAAGTTATGACAACAGGAAAGACTGCTAACTTTACCACTGACGGAGAAGATGTGGAAATGGTGGACAGTTTGCCTACTCTGATCAACAAGTTCCAGTAAGACACAGACTGGACCTCAGCAGATTGAGCAGGAAGGAGCTAGAACTTTGGTGTTGGCAGAGACTTTTGAGGGTACCTTCGACAGCAAAGAAAACCAATCAAGCCTCATGTCTCACTCGAAGCCAAGGTAACCAAACTGAAGCTCTCTTATTTTGGATATATTCTAAGAAGAACCGATTCATTGGAAAAGGCCATTAGGCTTGAAGGTAAAAGATGGAGAAGACGACCAGCTACAAGATGAATGGACACAATCAGAGGAATCATGGACCAGCCATTCAGAGACCTGAAGACCCAAACAGAACACAGGAGAAACGCTGTCCCAGTGGTCGCCAGAGTCGGCACTTGTCGGCACTAAATGATAACAAAAAATACATATTTTTACCATTTCAGTTGCTCTGTTCATCGGGAAATTATTAACACAACAAAGGCAACTGTAATTTTCAAATTATGAAATTATAAAATCTTGGACACCTTGCCAAAAGACTGTCAGTCTGTAAGAACAAAATATACCAGCCTTGCTTGAAATGTGAACACATCTTTCCAAACTGTAAAAATATCATTTTTATCATGGTCAGTTCCGCCTCTGCAGCGCCCCTCTGGTTCAACTCTGCTATAGGCGCGGATGACATGTCTTCGTACCAAAGTACGATGACACGTTACGCTATGCAACCAACGCTACCGCCCCCTGATGACACCTTACTCATGCATAAATATGAACGCACTGGAGCCGAGAGCGAGGAGATAACCACATTCACGCGCTGAGCTAAATACCCCCAGCACCTCCTCACACGCTGCGCCAGATGTCTGCAACAACTGTAAATAACCCAGTTAATCTAAGCTTAGTTTGTATTAAAGATGTTATCATTAGCACATTTACTGATAATGTTCAGCGTATGAGTAGGTAACCTGAAGGACAGATAAAGTGAGGATTCCTGCAAGTCTCCATAAAGCTGCTGGTGTTGCATCCAATTCACGTTTCCCTTCACAACTAAAACTCGCACTCACTGAACAGAATCAACGGCAAGCAACACTGGAACTACAGAAAGCGAAACGGTTCAGGAAAGGTTAACATTAAATGGCCATTATTACTGACTGTGTCAACTTTTTTCTTTGTTTTATTGAATATGGACCTGTGGAACAGATAATTAGAAGCTAGCTGTCACTGTTTTACGGAACGTTCTACCGTTTGGCGCCTCTGCTGCTTGCTGTTAATCGTTTTCTGGCACTATGTTAACTCTTTAGCGGCTTGAGTCCGTGGCTCATACTGTTAAGGCTGAAGACGCACTGCCTGATCAGAATCACCTTCCCTCGTCGAAGATGGGGATGGTAGTTCAGAAAAATCAACCTCTTAAGATCTCTCAGTTGCAAAAGTGTCATTTGATTCTGTCACTCTCCATATTTTCTGGTAGCTAACATTAGCTTTAAAAACAGAGCAGCCCAGCCTTCCCGGTTTCCCTTCCAGCCCCACCTCCAAACCCAAACATCACTGCAGTGTCCTTCCCAACGTGGCCTTCTTATTTTTAAGCATTTTTCTAAGATAAGCTTGGGATGGAGGCTGAAAACAGTGGGGTGTAGTTACTCTTTAAAAAATACACCAGCTGTCATTCACATTGTGTGAACATTTCACAACAGACCAATAAAATTGAATAAAATCTTGTTACATTAAGGTATATTATAACGTTTTTTCCTTCTCCTATATAGTTACCATTCAGAAGGTACAAGGTTTTGTACGACAGCGACGTTCTGCTTAAACCTTTAGACAACCTGGCTCTAAGTATCGTAGATACAATCAATGTAACGTCAGGGAGACGTTTCATTACGAACAAATGTCAACAGGACTCTCGTGACTACGACACAGAAACAAAACTAGATATTTCTAGCCTAGTGGAGACCCAAACGTATTCAAGGCAATTAAACAATCCTATAAAAAGCACAAAATCAGAAATACTTTCAATCTATTTACAAATTATTAACATACCCATTTTAGGTGCTTCACTGGCTAACTATGTAAAAATATGTCATAAATAATGAGAAATCATTCATTTATATACTTACTATAATGAACTTTTTTTTATATATGCCTAAAGCTGAATCGTAACATTCATGCACCGAATGACATACTTTGTTTTTGTTAAGCATCGTCAATCGATTTCTCATTATTTAGCCTTCTAATTATCGCCATGTACATAGTTGGCATGCTGGAGTATCTACGCATTGCTCCATTTAATGCATAAGCGGACCTTATTATAAAATCTGTGAGGCATAAATAAAAAACACAAGCATAAAAGATACTAAATAAAAATAAAAAAAACAAAATAAAAAGACTTTAAAGGTGCTTGTCATTAAAGATTATCCTGAAGAATTCATCATAGCAGTCGTTTCAGTTACTGAGATTGGTAGCACGTGACTGGATGGTTACTCTTCTGGGCGGGGTTTGCTCCGTGCTGCGATTGGCTATCAGCTCCTGCAGCTGAAGAGCCCCTCCACCAATGAAGCAGAAGGCGGGGCAGACGGGGGCGGAGCAATCAACAGTCCCCTCCCACAACACCCGGAGCGAGTGAGCATCATAGAAAGTGACCCGTCCCTTCTCGAAGTCCAGGCACACCCCGAGGCGGGGCGGCAGGGGGGCGGTGAGGGGGGCGGACGATGTGTTAGACGAGGCAGACTTGGGCAGCAGAATCTTGCCCATGCCCATGGTCAGGAAACAGAACGGAGGAGGACAGTCCTGAGCATCCTCAGCGCCGCTGTCGTGGCCACTGTCAGGGTCGTACCTACAGAGAAAGGAGAGACACGAAACAAAGCAAGATTTGTGTGGTTTTTATGTTTACATGACAATTTTCTGACATATTTTCCTTATCACAAGGATACTTATATCATGAATAATGTAATAACGAGGATGATGCTTCACAAAGTTCAAAGAGAACTAAGTGTACTCGGTATTAAATAATGCTTATATTAAATAATAATAATATTAAATATTAGTTTTTACATTATGTTACATTATTCAGCAACTACAGCTGAATTTCAGCACAAATTCACTATAATGACGGAAATCACCTTGTTTTGTAATATGCAAAGCATGTGAACGAGGCTTCAAGTTTCTCTAGTAAAGTGCACTGTTAGCATGCAAGTCGCTTAAGTACTTTTGGCTGTATAGTGTATGTTAATGAACTCTGTTCTGATTGGCTGCCATGTGCTGCATTTTGGTGTTTCTGCCTAATTTCTGGGCATTTTTTTCCTGCCTAATTTATGTCTTTTTATTTCTGCCTAACATATGTAAGTTTATGCGCAATTATGTATCTTGCTACTGTAACACTGCAATCCGTAGTAATCCGTTCTGTCTATCTATCTAGTTAGCTTGCTAGCTAGTAATCCATTTAAAAAGAAGTCCAGGCGGAAATGTGGAACAAACTGTTAGATCCTCAGTGAGATTGGACAAAAGAAACTTCCTTTTAAGCTCCAATAATAATTTCATTTGCAAAAACAGATATTGTAATGAATTTTCATAACTCATCTTTTTTTATTGTGCATTCCAGGTACTATCAAAACAACTTGGGTTGTTTTGATTATGTAAGAATAACTCAACAAAATACAGGTAACAAAATTAAACATTACTGAAAAATTGGGATTTTTTTTATTTAAATTTTGGTTTTGGCCAAAGCCAGAGTTGGGAACAAGTCCCAAGTCAAGAGAGTCGAGTCTCGATTTATGTCCCGAGTCAGTGAAGGCGAGTCTCAAGTCAAGTCCCAAGTCAATCCCAAGCCATAACACTGAATAATGGTAACAGTACTATAGCCTTTTAATGACAGCACGTTAGCAGCGTATGGCTGTATAGTATTTTTTTATTATATATATATATATATATATATATATATGTATATATATATATATATATATATATATATATATATGTGTATATATATATATATATATATATATATATATATATATATATATATAATCTTTCCAACTAAAATACAAAATCCATGGTACACAGATAACCACACTTTTAACAAAAGATGGCTCTTCAAGGGTTCTTTAGTAAGGAAAATGGTTATATAAAGAACCATGCACACTCAAAAAAAACCCTTCCATAATTACAGGGTTCTTTGCATCATGAAAGGGCTTTTGAGAATGTGCTGTAGACGGGTGTACATAGAACCTTTTTGAAGAGGGTTCTATATAGCACTTAAAAGGCTTCCTCTATTGTTATGATGTCAAGCTTAACATCATAGCTTGACTGCTGCACCATTCAAGGTGAAATAAAAGTCAACTTCAACTTCATGGTAATTGTTGCGCCTCTTTTACCTGCAGAAGCTGTTAAAATGGTCAAATAGAGAGAGCTGTGTTTGTTGAAATAAAATAAACCGAGCATAAGCACAGTAACAGATGTTTGGCGACATTGCTGTATATTCAATTTACGGCAGGAAACGAATCCATTCACAGGAAAATTAAGCGGCAGTGTAGAGTCAGTCTGCAGTCAGACTCTCTCCATGTTTCTTACACTTTGAGTCTCACGTCTTTCCGAGTCTTACCCTGCATTCACACCGGCAGCGACTTTTCGCCTCTTGTCACCCAAATCGCTGATACTCATCGCCTGTGGGCGTTTCTGAACTCCAACTGACCGTTGGTTGCCATGGTTTCACTGACGTCAAGCACTGATCAGATGCATTCCCGCTAGAATTATATGCTCATTTTTGTTTAATCCCTCTCTGTGCAGTCAGTATGTGAGGAAAACAGTACTTGGTCTCTGATTACTGTCTACTTGCAGCGAAAGCACTGCTGCCATTATTCCATCTCTAGCAGGACCAATTATCTAGGAACCAAAAAAGGAGCGTACCATTTCACAGTGGCTAAGATAAAGCGTGTACTATGCTGCTCAGTGCTCAGTTCCTATTGGTAATCGCCAGATCGCCTCAACTTTGTTGCGTCGCTGACTCCACCCACTTTGTGTTGCCAACGTTCGCACCGCCTCCTGTCACTCTCATTTGACAGCTCTCATTGAAAATGAATGACCTTCGGCCACCTTGTCGCGTTGCGTCGCTGCCGGTGTGAATGCAGGGTTAAGGCCGAAGTCCGAGTCATTGGTGTTTAAATCGAGTTGCAAGACTTTGTCAGTTTTCTCGAGTCGAGTATCAAGTCATCAAATTTGACTCGAGTCCACACTACTGCCAAAAGCAGATAACTCCAATGGCCATTTGAGATTCTGCCCAAAACAGTTTGTCACCTGATCCGAATACTGCACACTGATTGGCTGAACAGATTTATTGTGTTCTGCTTGAGAACAGCGCTGGTGTTTGACTGTTTCTGCTGTAAAACGTGAACTTGCGATGCCTTGACAATGGACAATACAGACTGTCTGCAGTAACAACACTCCCTATCACTTCAATAGAACTGCTGTAGGCTAAATATGTGGTCATATGGTTTTTATGATGACATCACAACCATTATGAATTCAGTGCACCTTGTTTTTCCACATATGTATCATATATGATCTTTGGCAATGTTTACTAGAATGCTATGTTAACAAAGCATGAACAATTCAGGTTTCTACTATATGGGCTCGTTAAAAGCTTTCAGGAATGTAAGTACTTCATGTTTCACATCCAGCTTTTCATTTGTTCTCAGGATCCTTACCGTGGACTGGCCATGTCCTGTGGTAAGTGAAACCACTCCTGCAGCTTTGCCTCCAGACCAACACCAACCTGCTCACACATACAGAGAGGCAGAAATCACTGTCAGTCAGCATTACATCACCACTCCTCGCTGTATTTGAATGGTAACATTTGCCGCGCGCTCACCTTGACCAGGTAGGAGCCGGGCTCCACCGAGCACGCCCAGTAGTGACGGCCCTGAGTGACGGACGCGTCAGCCACCAGGAGGTCAGAGGTCAGATGGCAGGAGGTGAGGGCGCGGTCAGCAGCCTGCAAAAGGGTCAGTCCGGGCACGCTGCGGGCGTACGTCTGACCTTTACCTAAAGCGATCCGCTCCGCATGTAAACCCCAACGGGAGTCCAGACAAAATGACAAGACTGACACGGAGAGAGAGAGAGAGAGAGAGATAGAGAGAGAGAGAGAGAGAGAGAAGGGAGAGAGAAAAGGAAAAAAGAGGGGAGAAGGGAGGGAGAGAGAGAGGGAGAAGGGAGAGAGAAAAGGGAAAAAAAGAGAGGGAGAAGGGGGAGGGAGAGAGAGAGAGAGAGAGGGAGAGAAGACAGAGAGGGAGACAGAAAAAGAGAGAGAGAACAGAGAGAAGATAGAGAGGGAGACAGAAAAAGAGAAAGAGAGAGGGAGAGGGGAGAGAAAGAGAGAGAAACAGAGAGAGACAGAGTGAAAGAGAGAGAAGAGACAAGGAGACAGAGCAAAAACAGAGACAGGAGACAGAGAGGAATACAGAAAAAAAGAAAAAAGAGAGGAAAGGACAGAGTATATGAGAGAAATGGGAAAGAGCAAGAGGGGAAGAGAGGGGAAGAGAGAAAGGGAGGGAGATGGGAAAGAGAGCAAGAGACACGAGAAGCAGAGAAAGAGGGACGCAGGAAAGAAAGAGAAAGAGAGGGAAGGAGGAGAGCAGGGCGGAGGGGGGCAAACGCAAAGAGGGAGAAAGTAGAAGAGGAAATGCAAACATAAAAAGGAAGCAGCAAAGAAAAGAGGGGAAGAAAGAGAAGCAGGAGTATAGAGGGATAAAAGGGGGTTCGGGAGGGACATTGAAGGGGAGGACGAGGAGCAGAAGAGGAGGAGAGAGGAAAGCAGGAACATTAGGCAGGTTTCCATCTCAGCCATTTTATGCGGAAGCTGATTTTAATGCTAAAGTTCACACAAACTGAGTCGGTATTAGTCGCTACTATCTTCCATTTGTTATCCATGTTAGCATCTTCGCTTTTCACGGCATCTCGCATCATCGCTGCATCATTTCTGTGCCGTCATCAGAAATAAGAATTATAATAACCTGCTCAACGTAAATCAATCATCTATAAACAAAAGAATGCCAAACAAAAGGAAATGTAAACCGTTTGCGCTACGCATAAAACACGTCAAACTTAAAATTGTGACTTAAGTAGCATTCAGACAACACTGTCATATACGCGAAGTGTGCCGTATTTCATGCTTAAAAAGATGTGTTGGTTAGATGTGTTGCATCTGATTGACAAGCATGAGACAGTGGAAAACTGTGGAAAACTGATAGACAACTTCAGTTTGGCTAATGAGCTAAACTGGTTTGCCGGTTAGCTTACCTTATTAGCTGATTCAAAACAATATACTGCTCTGTTCTGCTTACACACTCACACAAATGACTACACTAACACAGAATCATGTGTAGAATCAAACTAAGTTTCAACGGTTCCCTGCCTAGTGTGAAAATATGAGCAATTCTGTGTCGTATGAGTCATCCTGTGGCTGCTAGCATAAAAGCTAATAGTGTTAGCTACTTAACTAGAATACACCAGCTTATGACGAGTAATAATTCCAAACACAACACTCAGCACGTCAACACACCATCCTAGTTTACATTTTAGTGCTGTTATTGGTCATATAGTGCTTGGTAACTTCATCTAGAAGAGTAAACGATTCGCTAAATTGTTGTTAGCTTCATCTGCAAGCATTAGCAAACACAGAGGATCCCACAGTGGGACTGATATTAGCCTACTTATAGCAGTTCCAGCTGCTTTTGTAAGATGGAAAATGAGAAAAACATAAGTAAGAACCACTATGTACTTTGGGGCATTTGGCATTTTATATTCAAATACAACAAGAATTTATTGTAAATTGTCCTGTAAATTGAGCTGCTTCTGTGCTGACGCAACTGCAAAGATAGTGCTGGTTGCGTACTGGAATATTACAGGTAGTACATTCTCCTGGTATCTTTGGCGAACTGTTGGTCACATACTGGTTACTACTTTTCGGCACAGTTAGTACGCAAGCAGTATGTAGGCTATTTTGAACACAACGAAGGCATCTACGATACAGGTTGGTCAGCTGTGAGTGATGTATGGTGTTTTTATGGAGGCAATTTATCAACCTGAGGCCAGAAACATACTCAACGCAAGTACGCAAACACAAAGGACAGCACGCGGCCAATGCATGGCAAATATTCGGTCCTCTGTACGAACTCACTGTGCATTCTTACGTTGCTGTAGCAGATAAAACACTCAAAATCAGAGAGGATTTACTGTTATTTCAACAGCCTCAACAGGTAAACATGGACAAGTAGAGGAGAGTGAGCTGCTCTACCTGTTCTATTGGAATGGAAAGGCAGTAATGTATCATATTTTTATGATTATGTAAGCCATCATTGCGTGAGACTCAACTGCTCGTCAGCTATGGCGGTTAAGAAAGCACGCTGGTGGTACAAGCCCGTTTGGTCAGGCTTGGCTGTCGTTATAGCGCCCCTTGCTGTAACACTCAGAATGCAGCTTACGCTTACATTGCGTTATGAAATGTGTTGTGACGCATTTTTAAACGTAATTACGTTAGCTTTGATTAGCTTGAAGCATCTGCTTTCACATCCTTGCATTAATTATGTTTCGGGCCTAAACGTGCACTTTAAAAGCACGAAACACACTGCACGGCCTAGCTGAGCGCTTTTAAGTTGCTTCATAGACAACAATGGACAGAAGAATGCTTCACAGAGTTTGAAAAGGTGTTGTCTGAACGCCGCTAATATGCTTTCTTTTTTTTGCAGGAAATGCCATCACCCTGATCCTCAGTCAACTCTGTTCATCAAGTTTGGGATGGGGAGGGTCTGGCCTTCTAGCTTAAAGCAGGAGCTGTTTTCAAGTGCCTAGTCGATGCTAATTAGCAAAATTCGCCAACATTTTGAACTTATTTCCATTTAATCGCATGCAAAACGCGCATAAAGTGGATGGAAACCCAGCTACTGAACATATTCCAGGGTTCAGAGAAGGTCAAGCTGATATATTTCAGTTCAAACAGGAATACAGATCAGAGCCAAGGTGGAGGAAACGAAGGGAAACGAAAGAAGGAGTGAAAAAGAAAACATGAGGAAAGAACAAAAAAATAGGAGATGCAGGATGAGTGTGCTGACACATGAGAGCGAGAGAAAGCAAAAGAGAGAGAGAGAGAGAGAGAGAAAGAGAGAGAGAGAGGCGGGAACACGAGTGGGATGCGTAGTTTCTGTTTTAGGACATGAGAAATGGAAGGCACATCCGGTGAGAGAAAGCAGTAGAAAAGCTGGACGAGTGGAGGAAGGGAAGAAGTGAGGAGGCAAGAAGGCGAGTAGAATGAGGATGGATAACAAAAAAGGTAAAGGTGGATGGAAAAGAGAAAAACAAAAGTGCAGAGATGGATGAAGAAAACTGTGAATTCAAAATGAAAAAGTATGGCAGTGAGTGTAAATGGACCATTCTACCAGATTAGTGTGGCCCCACAGTGAAAAAAAATTATTTGGAAAAAAAAACCAACCCAACTTAGGCTACGTTCACACTGCAAGCCTCACTGCTCAAATCCGATCTCTCTGACACGATGGTTCACACTCGTTTAGGTCAGTGATTCAAATCTGTCATTAATGTGAACGAACCGGCGTCCTGAAATGACCCATATGCAGACATCCTACTCAGTAACGTCACGTGAATGAATCACGAGGATCATTAGCACAAACTAACGGTCAGAACGAGCTTCACTGACGATAATTAACTCTGATCAGATCTCAGCTTCATTATTAGAGCGAGATGAAGGTGAAAAAGGTGAGATGTGTTGCTTTTCCACCGTTTACAGGCTTTAACTTCTGATCAGTGCTGCTGCCATGGCGATGCTGAATGATGGCGCACGCGCAGTGGAAAAAAAGCACATGAATTAAGATCTGAGCTTTCACATTATGGTCACATGGCCACAAATCGGATACGGATCCGATCTAGGACCACATATGAAAGTGGCTCAGGTCAAATTTGAAAAGATCAGATTTGTGTCCACACAGCTCTGAAAACATCTGAGTCACATCAGGGTAAAAAATTGAATTTGTGCCACTTCAACCTGGTAATGTGAACGTAGCCTTAGATATTTACAAGGATTATGTAACGATCTATTTTAAAAGGCACTGAAATAGTAAAAGCTCAAACAAAAACATAAACAAAATCTAGGAGTTTTAATCCATAGACGGAGCTTTATAGCAGTCACACCCCTGCAATTTAGGAAGTGAGACTGCATCCCTGTCCCTCATGTCTACATGGTGAGCAGTTAAATCTCATTGTTTTGTAGTGAATGTGTCCAAAAGTCTGAAAGTCAGTGGAACATTAAGAATTGTCATACTTTCCGCAATAAAGTAAATTTTATGCGTTTTAATGAAAAATATTATGATTTTATGCATGTACAACTGTTCAAAACTGTGTTTGCTAGTCATGTACTGGCTACTGAAACAGTTACTGCTGAAACACCTGTAAAGTTTCGTTAGTGTTATGACTGTTTTGTTAGTGACAAAATGGAATGTTCGATCATTTATTTTAATACAGTGAACATAACCAAGGTATACAGTCACTCCAAGTCCAAGTTAAAAATCCAAAATGGCTTTTGAACTCAGTTTGGTAGAATGATCCATATTAAGAATATACAATTCAGCAGTCAAACTGGGATTATAGGTTAACAGAATACTCTGGTGTTTTTCAACCTAATCTCTACCTCATACTGTAGCCTACTGTATTACCACAGACAATCATTTTGGCATTCCTATACTTAAAAAAGAGCAGAAAACCAGCATCTGCCCATTGACTTCCATTATAAGCATGTTTCGATTTGACAGGTTTTCTCTTCTTTTCTAAGAATTACCATCTGTGGTTTTGAGTCATTTGTTACCAGACAGAGATTAGGCTGAGAAGCACTGGAACACTGTATGTATGTATGTATGTACAGTACCAGTCAAAAGTTTGAACACACCAACTCATATGATGTTTTCCTTATGTTTACCTATTTTACCTTTTGTTTAGGAATAAATGCAGACATTAGAACTAGTCTGAAAGAACACATATGGAACTATGCAGTGACCACAAAAATTTTTATGTGTACTAAGGGCGCATTTGGAAAATAACAGCCTAGGCTGACTGGTTGGGCTCGACATGTCATACTAATGTTGACCAATCCAATAAGGCTTAGACATGGCACACAGAGCCAACCTACAGTGTGTATCTCTGTCACAGCTGCATTCGACATTCAAGCCTTTTTCGGCAAGGAAACAAGTTATAAGGCTGATTCCAATGATTAGAAAAGTGATAATATTGGATCAACCCCCCAGTTTGTGCAGTATGAAGTGCATTATGGGACTGTAAGAGTGCACAGCATATTCTCACAAAATACTTCTTACTACATGGAAAAGTAAATAGGGCACAGTTTGGGCCATAGACAGTGACTAAGGAACCATCTTTATTATGAAATATAATGATCTTCTGTTTATCTACACCTATCATACCTTTATCTAAGATTCTTTATAGAAGCCCCTACATGCCTTGATGCAGCTCTACCCTCTCTTAGCATTCTCTAAAGCAACTTTATCAGCAGCCACCTGGGATGCTTTTCCAACAGGCAGCAATTCATACATACAATTTCACTATTTCTATTTGTCCTCTATTTCAAGTATTTAAGCAGAAGCCTACCGAATACATTCAATACAGTGTGCCCAAACTTTTGACCTCTACTGTTTATGGGTGTGTGTCTACGTGTGTCTTACCTGGTGCGGGTGGTGTGTGCAGATACACCTCCTCACTGTACTCCCCATACCCCGCTTTGTTGCAGCCTCTCACCCTCAGCACATACACACTGTCCATCTCCAGCCTGTCAATCACAGCACTGGTCCCGCCCACCTCTTCCAATCGCTGCCATGGACTACTGCCACCTCCCGTGCCTTCAGATTTGACGCCGCCCCACAGCGGTCCAGCTCCACCCACTTTCCTTTGATATTCAACTGAGTAATGCCAGGCGGGGGCGGAGTCCTGGGGGAGCCGCCAGCACAGATAGAGCTGGTCATAGGCCAGAGTCTTCTGAGTGTCGATTACAGGAGCCAGTGGAGCTGCAGGAGAGAAAATACAGAGATTGGTTTAAGGCTAGCAGTCGCAAGTGATTAACTCATCACAATTAATCACCTTTATCAGGTGAGAATTTGAATCTAGACCTGACCAATTTTTATATTGAAGAACAAATGTTCTTTTCCAATAACTCTACAGTGAGGACGTGTTTTAGTTTGGTGGCTCAAGCAGAAACCTTGTATGAAATCCATGCTGCAGAGCAGCTTGAGCTCTCTGGAGACGTCCATATGGTAGTGTCGGAATGAGGGATCAGCAGTGAGGGAGAAGTGCTGCAAGTTGTCTATCGCCTTCACCAGCCTGAGCAACAGAGAAGCACAGAAAACAAGATTCGCAACTACAACATGGGTCTATAAAGATCATCTGTCACTCACTGACATTCAATCATTGTGTTCAAAAAGATCGGATCACTATTCGGAATATCCAAAAATAGGAGCACCATATAAAACGCTATTACATAGGGAACAGAAATTGTCCCATAATCCCTATTCCCTACATTGGAGCACTAAATAGAACAATACTATAAGGAACTGAAATGGACCCCTTATCGCTATTTGTTAGATTAGAACAGTGGTATCCAACCCTGGTCCTGGAGTACCCCTGCCCTGTCCATTTTAGTGTTTTTACTGCTCCCAACACACCCGATCCAACAAATCCACTAATTAACAAGCCATTCTTGACTTAAAGTAGGTGTGCTGGGAATAGATAAACCAATAAAACAGGCAGAGCAGGGGTACTGCAGGACCAGAGTTCAGAACCCTAATCACTGTTCTCTACACTGGATCACTATATGGAACATTATGATGGGGAACAGAAATGGACTTCTAATCACTGTTCCCTGCATTGAAGCACTATATTGAACACTATAACAGAAATAGTCCTTAATCACTATTCTCTATACTGGAGTACTATATAGAACATTATTTAAGCAATAGAACACGAGAGGGAGTGTGTTATCACAAAATAACACACAACCTCGAGTGTTCAAATGCTTTTATACAACAGTTAAATAAATAAAGTAAGAAATAAATAAATTGGGCTGTGAACGCGGCATTTAATATGGTTTAATGTTAGCAATTCCTTCCAGCCAATTATAGTTCCTTAACAAGCAGCTTGTTGCTACGTCAGAGTAACGAACTCCGCTCGCTCGCTGCACAGTCTGCTGTAAGCCTCGCCTTTTGAAGTACAGACTGAGTCATAAAACTGCCACTATATCAAGTTTAGCTCAGTTTTGTCAGTTTTTGCTGGATCAATATTAATGTTGTTTTGTTCCAGCCAGTCTGTAAAGCATCTTATAGCCCATTTTGTTTGGCGAATGGTATTCGGTTCATTTCTGGCTAATCCCAGGTTGTTTAGGTGTTCTTCTGTCACAGCTGCCGACTGAAAAGCTTGCTCAGTGGTGATGACAGTTTGGGTTCACTGGATTTTATTTACTATGTATATCGGCCACCACTACAAAACAACTTCCAAAAAACTACAGCTGTCAAAGTGAGAACAGTGTAGACATGATAAACTATTGATGCTGCTAATTTTTTAACACTATTAACACATTTTACTAGTTTGTCTCTACAAACTATTCATAGTAGTGCAGGCTGAAACACTTATAGCCTCTTTTGTTTAAATACAGTGTTTAACAGGCTTTTAAAATGATACCTGTTGATATCTGTTAATTGGAATGAATGATTTTAATTAGCCCATCAGAAGATATTTTTGTGTTTAAAAATGAACACATTCAATGCACTGGTTATGTTAGCACCTTACCAGGCTTACTACTCTGTAATTCTAATTATACTTACTGTATTATTTAGTATCTACTATTCTGTAGTTACGGGCGTGACAAGTTGTTGACCCATATACTTTAAGGTTTAAGGGGTCCGTGTCCTTAACTGGACACACTGATGTTTTAAAAAGTAACACACTACATGTTTGCAAAAAATCAGCTTCAAAGGTGTATTTATACACATACACACACACACACAGTCTGACCTGTTGTGGGTGATTCTGGCAGCTTGGACGAAGCAAGGTTGGTCAGTTTCTTTGAGCAGCTCCTGTGTGTAGGTGAGGAGTCCAGCGTTTTCAAGCAGGCTCTGTTTCTCGGAGAGCTGACTGTTTAAAGCTTCAGCCCTCTGAGCCCTGGCTCCTTCAACAGTTTTAGCCAGAGCTCCCTGCCTCTCAGCTAGCACCCCCCGCAGCTCACTCACACACTGATTCAGCTGCTCTTTAGCCACTGCACTGTTCACCTACACACACACGCAAAACATACATTATGTTAGATAAAATCCAAAGTTAGACAAATAATGTAGTTGATCAGATGGAGACATATTTGATGTCGGAAGTTTGCTTTTTTAGTTTTGCACTGGAGCTACAAGGCTGATGTAACTAATAAGTAATTCAATAAATGGAAGTTTACACCCCACCAATTACCATCATGCATAAAACTACAATATATGGTCAAAGGTATGCAGACTCCTGACCATCACACCTATATGAGCTTATTAGGCATGTAATTCCAAAACCATGGGCATTACTATGAGGTTGACCCCCCACACCCTTTGCCGCTATAACAGCCTTCACTTTTCTGGGAAGGCTTTCTACAAGATTTTGGAGTGTGACTGAAGTGCATTTGTGAGATCAGGCACTGATGTTGGATGAGAAGGCCTGCCGCCACCGCTGAAAAAACTCCTAGAGGAAACATTAGGAAAGGTCCTTCTCTAAACTGTTCCCACAAATTTGGAAGGATAAAACTGTCTGAAATGTCTTTGTATGCTGTAGCATTAACAGCCGCAGCCCATTATCCCTCCTCCACCCAACTTTACTGATGGCTCTGTGCGTTCCAGTAGACAGTGTTCTCTTGGCATCCGGCAAACCCAGATTCATGTGCCAGATTGTGAAGCGTGATTCATCAGTCCAGGGAACACATTTACACCACTCCAGCAGACGCCTGGCATTGTACATGGTGATCTTAGGCTTGTGTGTTGCTGCTCTGCTATGAAAACCCATTTCATGAAGCTCCCAATGCACAGCTCTTGCACTAATGTTGCTTTCAGAGGATGTTTGGAACTTTGGATAGATGATTAATGCAACAGACGCAACAGATGATTTTTATGTGCTACATGCTCCAGCACTCGGTAGCCCCGCTTTGTGAGTCCGCATGGTCTACTGCCTAATGGCTGAGCTGTTGTTGCTCCTAGACACTTCCATTTAACAATAATAGTCCTTACAATTGACCAGAGGAGATCTAGCAGGGCCAAAAGTTCACAAACTGCAAAGGTGGCATCCTCTGACAGTATCAAGTGTAAAGGCACTGAGCTCTTCAGTACAACCCATTTAATGACAGTGTTTATCTATGGAGATTGCATGACTACATGCTTACTTTTATACACCTGTTAACAATAGGTGTGGCTGAAACACCTGAACTCGATAATTAAGATGGGTGTCAACATACTTTTGGCCTTACAGTGTATCTGTAAGAACAGCCAACAAGACGGTACACAGATAAAAACAGTACTAACGGCCAACTTGAAGCCTTAACAACTCCATGCACTTTAATGCAAGTGTAGGCTTGCAGTTTACACCACGCCAATTGTAAATTTCCATTACTTGTTAGCTACAGTAGCATCGTAGCTCCAGTGCAAAACTAAATAAGCAAACATCAGACCTCCAACGGTCTTGGCTGATGGATTACATTTGAGATAAGAGGCAAATTGTGTAAATGTTTTACCAAACTATTGCTTTAAAAGACAAAAAGATAGTTAGACCATGTGAATGCACTAATTATTCACAGCAGTGGCTTCTATTTATATGTTGGTTAGAAGTTCAACAAACAAGTCTTTACCTCTGTCTGAGCGATGGCGCTCTCTACTTGGGTGATTTGTGCCTGTACCATCTCCTGATTGGCCAAGACGTAATTCATCTCTTTGGTGATTTTGTCCTGTGAAATCGTAACAAAGTCACTTAGGATGCATAAAGTACAAAACCAGTTATAACATAACTACTATGACAATATGAATTATTTATTTATTGGAATATGTTTCGCCAAGAAGACTCATTTCAAAGGTTTAATGCATTATGCTTTTCTTTGAATTTTGAATTTGAATTCACATTCAATGATCTGAGCAAATGTAGAGCATTTCCATTAAACAAAGTATAGTTTTTGCATTTTCAACAAAAAGTGTTCAAATATCTCAGTGACAACATTGTAGGGACGGTCCTGATCTGATAGCAGGTATCGGGTCAATATCAGCAGTAAATGCTGGACTGGATTTCAGAGGGAAAAAAAAAGAATGGATTTGATTCAATCCTGTAACAAATCTATCCTGGAACAGCATCTATTCACAATGTGTGATGTGATGTTGTTAGCTGGATTTCGTCCTGCAGTGTAGTAGTGTGACTGAGTAAATTCTATTTATTTATTTATTTATTTATTCATTCTTCTGTGTCTGATCCACTTGTACCAGCGCAACACACACTAACACACCACCACCATATCAGTGTTACTGCAGTGCTGAGAATGACCCACCACCCAAATAGTACCGCAGAAGGGTCCATGGGGGTCCTGACCACTGAAGAACAGGGTAAAGGGGGCTAACAAAGTATGCAGAGAAACAGATGGACTACAGTCTGTAATTGTAGAACTACAAAGTGCACCTATAAAGTAAGTGGAGCTGATAAAATGGACAATGAGTGCAGAAACAAGGAGGTGGTCATAATGTTATGCCTGATTGGTGTATATTATAATATATGACATATGAATCATTGAAATTTGTTGAAACTCTCATGGCATGTTGTCTGTTTGAAGCCTAGCTTTACTTGTCCAGCTTAGATACACTGAAATATTTGTCAAAAGCTGCCTGTCACAGTTGTCTAGCCAACACATGCATACTTGCACGCAGATTCTCTACTGTCATGAAAATGTTCAACAAACATCATGTGCACTTCACACACTTGCTTAAAATTAGATTTGATTACAATGTAGTTAACTGCCTTAGGAATTTGTATCTGGATAAACTGGTTAACATGGCAGCCAAAACGAAACCATGCTGTCATGAAACACTTCATTTACTGAATAGATTTTAGTCAACCAGTGCAAACGCCCGTCATCAAAACGACAGGAACAGGCTGATAAGATCTTTCAAATGGCATCTATCATGGAGAAGAATTTTACTCATTTTAAAATAAAGTTTGATGTAGTAGATAAACATTGGTACATTTTCAAGATGTACCATTCACGGCCCAGTTCATATGGTCCCTATATGGAAACTACAAAAAACAGCCTGAATTCTTTTGAGATGTCATAAACACCAATGCATTTACAAACATTAGCATGTTCAGCCTACAGCAGTGCAGCTCTGCCCATTTATGGTGAAGTTATAAGGAGTGTTTCAGCCCAGATAGACTTTTGATTAATTTGAATACAGGGCAGCCAATCAAAAAGAAGGTTTACATATACAGTTGTATGCAGATGTTTGAGCACCCCAGTTTAAAATCTTAGAAACAATTAAAAATTAAAAATATATATATTGTGCCATAACAGGCCACATTTCAGCCAGTATGTTAAATTCAGCAAATAAACAGTAATTGCGCATTAAAGTGTGCAAAAGCCGGTTCTATGCAGAGGATGTATGAACTTATTTTCACTCAGAAAATCGACAAAATGTACTTTGACTTGTTTTGCATATGACTGTGTCAAAAACAGCCTGTTTAAATCAAAGAGATAAAGAGAGGTTAGAAAATGGTCATGTAAAAATGAATTATGACCGGTTTTGGTACATAAATCCACACAAACATCACAAGTGGACCTCAGCGGAAAAATAAAGTACAAGAAAAATATAGGATACATATGTAAAACAGTTTCTTTAGCAGTTTGTTAGTGGGATTTTGTTTGAAATTTGATGTTAAAAGGTAAGTGGGAGGAGTTGGGGAGATTACCTTTAAAGCCTGGTAGGCTTGAGCGATGGGCATGACCTTGTGCCCACTGTGGACCCGCCGAAGCTTACAGAGAGCACACAGCAGACGCTGGCACGACCGGCAATAGAACTGCAGCCGTTCCTGCTCATGCTCAACACATACCAGAACCTGAAAGAGAAAGAGACAAACAGAGGGAACTTCAGAACTTAATTTTTATACCGTTTCCCCTTTTAAACCACATATAGTCGATCAGCCATGATATGCCTGGTGTCTGAAGCTTCAGTAACACTTAATTTGAGCCCTGCTATATAACTTTGACATGTCATGGCAGAAGTCATATGCAGTCATGAGCCATCAGAACAGATTACTTTCAGCAATATAACAGTGTCATGTTATCATTACCGTATTCGCTATCATGACATCAAACATCATGACATACACTATATGTCCAAAAGTATGTGGACACCTCTCCTAATTATTGAGTTAACGGGTGTATAAAATATAGCACACAGCCATGCAATCTCCATGGACAAATAGTGGCAGTGTGTTGTACTGAAGAGCTCAGTGACTTTAAACATGGCACTGTCATAGGATAGAGAGATCCCTGATAGATCTGCCCTTGTCTGCTATAAGTGATATTATTGTGAAATGGAAAAAGCAACAACAACTCAGCCATGAGATGGTAGACCATGCAAACTCACAGAGTGGGGCTGCCGAGTGCGCACAGTGCATAAAAACTGCCTGTCCTCTGTTGCATCCAAACTGCTTCTGGAAGCAACATCAGCACAAAAACTGTGCTTTGGGCCTTGAAATGGGTCTCCAAGAAGACGAGCATAAGATCACCATAAACAATGCTGACCATCACCTGGAGTGGCGTAAAGCATACCACCACTGGGCTCTGAATCAGAAACGTGTTCTCAGTGATAAATCATTCTTCACTATCTGGCAGTCTAATGGATGAATCTGGGTTTGGCGGATGCCAGAAGAACCCTACCTACCAGAATGCATAGTGCCCACAGTAAAGTTTGGTGGAGGAGGGATAATGAGCTGGGGCTGTTTTTCAGGGTTAGGGCTTGGCTTTGTAGTTCCAGCAAAGGATAATGTTAATGCTACATGCTTCCAACTTTGTGACAAGAGTCTGGAAAAGGTTTTTTCCAGTTCCAGCATGACTGTACACAAAGCGTGGTCCATAAAGAAATAGTTTGAAGAGTCTGATATGGAGAAACTCCAGTGGCCTGCACAGAGCGCTGACCCCAACCCCACTCAACACCTTTGGGATGAAATAAAATGTTGACTGTGAACCAGGCCTTCTCATCCAACATCTGTGCCAAACTTCACAAATGATCTTTTGAGCGAATGGGCACAAATTCCCACAGACACAGATCATACAGTAAGTGACAGTAAGTTGTCCACATACTTTTGCCCATATAGTGTATGCCATAACAACTAACCATAAAGACATCATGGTAGTTTTGATATTCTGTCATGAGTTGTCACAAGAGATTATGTTCAGTGATATAACAGTGTCGTGTTACTGTTACTGTTAATTGCCATAATGTTTGACGTCATAACGACTTATTAAAGTACACAGCAAAAATGTGCGTGTGACATTAGCTGTCATGACATCAAACATTATGGCATCTGTCATGATAATAACACGACACTGTTAACTTAATGAACTAAATCTTCCCTCCCGACTCATGACAGCATAGTTAATGTTGCATGTCAAGTGTTACCTTTGCTTCCTTTGCTACGAGGTTAATGTAGCTAACTAATAGATGCTTCCAGCGAACAGTCTGTATTGTGCAAACTGCATTCCTAAATCATCACACTTCCCTCAAACCATGTCGAGTTGTTAAGTTCTGATGCTATATAAGATGTTATTATCTTTAAAAATAGACATCACACAGCTAAAAACAATAATAGCAGCAAGCTTGAATTGTGTCTGTGCATTTGTCCATACCAACAATAACAGCATGTCCCGAATGCCTGGTCAGCAGAACCTTTGAATCCAAAAGGAAGCATTCTGGATTGAAACCAAAGGCAGCGTGTTCTTACCTTGGGCCTGAAGCTGTGCGTGGGCAGGATGTGTTCGTGCTGGGCGCGTGGCGTGCCCCATGGGTGGTACAGCTTGAAGCACTCATTACAGAAGTTAGCCCTGCAGTCGGCGCAGCCTTTAGTCGCCTCCAAGGTCTGAGGTGGCTTACAGAACTGACACATCACCGCCATGCTGCCCAAACTGACTGTGTGCCTGTACCTACACACAAACACAGACAGATTAGTAATCATTCATCATCCAGAAAGAATTTAGATACTGTTCAAAAGCTTGAATTTATCATATATACACATATTTATATAATATTTGTTGTTTTAAATACAGCAATAACTTATACAATGTAAACCATAAAGTACATTAAAAAGCATAATCATCAAAATGTGATTTAGGTATTTTATTCAGTATTTGTAGAAAATAAGCAATTATCTATTTAAAATCTACCCTGACATTTGATCAACACTTCATATGATATATTACATATTTTATATATATATTAGGCTGCAATTTCTTAGATATTAGAATCTTACATATTTAAACATACTGGAATAAAACATACACTTCTTATGTTTGTTTCTCCCCAATATGTTAAATTAAGCAAATAAACAGTAAGTGCAAAATATTCCATCTGACCAGGGGAATAATAATAATAATAATAATAATAATAATAATTAATATAATAATAATAATAATAATAATAATATGTCGAATTCTGAATATGAATGTCATTAACACAGCTTTGAACAGCTGTACACACATAAAATCATAGTATTTTTATTAAAACTAAAAAGTTTACTGAACTGCAGAAAATACATGATTCAATAGTGACAGTTCTTAATGTTACACACCGATTTTCAGATTTTAGGACACATTTACTTCAAAACTATGGGCCCCAAATGTTCACCTTGTGGCCATGAGGGACAGAGATGCAGTCTCACTTCCTGTTCTAAAATGCAGGGGCGTGGCTAAAGTAAATCTCCGCCTGTGCACTAAAAATGTGGGACAGCATTTTTGAATAACATTTTTCATTTAAATCTTAAACTTTAATAAATCTACATGTTTAAAGTTTCTTTAAGAAATCAAAACTATCTTTTTAAAAACAACACTGAAAAAAAATGCAAACAAATCCATGTAGTACTTTCATAATTAGTTAGGGTCAGCGTTTGGGACAGCAAGCTCCCACTAAAAGGAACCCTATAACGGATGATTTTCTATATATTTAGCTTGTTACTGTCTTGGTTAGTGTTCTGACTGATTTGGTAGTGACTAAGGCCACGTTCACATTACCAGGTTAAAGTGGCGCAAATCCGATCTTTTGCCCTAATGTGACTCAGATCTGATGTTTTCAGGGCTGTGTGGACACGCAAATCTGATCTTTTCAAATCCGACCTGAGCCACTTTCATATGTGGTCCTAGATCGGATACGTATCCCATTCGTGGTCATGCGCCGAACAGAAGATAAAGCCTGTAAATGGTGGAAAAGCAACACATCTCACCTTTTTTGCCTGATGAGCAGCTGAGACTGTTCAGAGTTAATTATCTTCAGTGAAGCTCGTTCTGCTTGTTAGTTTGTTTGCTGATGATGCACGTGATTCATTCACGTGACGTTACTGAGTAGGATGTGCACATGCACTTACCTAAACGAGTGTGAACCATCGTGTCAGAGAGATCAGATTTCAATCATTAATTTGAATAAAATAAACATTATTAAGGTATGTGGACACGCAAGGCAAAAGGATTTTAATCTTAAGTCCAAGTCTATAATGTGCTTTCAACTCTGCCTTTCAATCAATGTGGTAGAATTATCCATATACATTGGCTGCGCAACCTGACGTTTTCTGGGTGATAAAAGTTGATGATCCTGTTTAAAATGTAATTATAAAGCTTTGAAAGAATAATGAACAATAAACAAATGTCAATACATGAAATAGATTCTTGTAGATACAATAATTCACATCATAACCTTTCAAAAAGATGTTTTTTGATGATCATTTTAAAAGCCTTATTTGTCTCTGACCCCACTATATAAGGCTTTAGCCATGATTATGTGTGTTTGTCTGCTGTCTAGATGCCCTCAAAAAATCTGTACAATTCCATTCTTTGAGGATATTTTGCTGGCTGTTATTCAGGAATGCTATTCTTTATACTTTGAACACTAAAAAAGCTAAAGCAAAGGCTGAGTACGTGCAAACATCTGAGAGTGTTTGGCGAAGCAACTGCCCCATATATCTTCACGCACTGCAACAGCTCAGCGTATCAAAGGCTGCACGAAACACAACGTCAGCAGACTGCTAAGGGCCAACTCCCCCCATTCCACACCCCCTCCCTCTCGGTTTCTCTCTCGCCCTCTCTTTCTTTTCTCTCTTCCAACCCACTCACTTTGCTGATCTTTAATTAAGTGCGGGTCAGTGTCTGTGCTAGTTCTTCTGCAGTTGGTGTTTCCGGGCCAGGACGAGACAAGCACATTTCTCAGTTTAAAGAATTGGGAGGGCTAAGTGGACACTTTCTTTTTGTCTGTTGCCAAGAAAAGCCAAGCGAAGCTTTCTCGTCTGTCTCAAAGTGCTCGTTTCTTTCGTTTTGCAGCAGTGCTTTTTACGCTTAGCCTCTCCGCTGTGCTACTGAAGCCAGTTTGTAGCCTTGTGTTGTTCTTCAGGCATGAAAAACTACGCCCCGCTAACAAAACGCTGTGAGAAGAAACGGGACACTGCCTAGAAACGGCTGTACCAACCAGTGCAACCGCATTTCTCCATCTATTCACAGGAATTCTTCAGAACGTAATGAATGTGTTGTGCTATGCTGTGAATAGCTGACGAAACATCTAATGAATCCAGGAAGTCCAAAAGGAAGTGTGCAAAATGTCACTATCAAATGTCAAACAAATTTCCCCACACTCCTGTAAAAAATTTGGACATTATGGGGGACATTCTGATGGCCCCCGCTTGTATTCAACTAAATTAAAACGACAGTAAAGTTAGGGCTCAGTTTGGGTGTAAGCTCAGCACTATAAAGTGCATGTCGGGATTAAGGACAGGATTAAAAGGGTGTTTTCTGTATGTTAAAGAAGCAAAAACAAAATAAGATTTACCTCATACACAGCTGACCTGCCAAGACACGTTTGGTGTCTAAAGTCCGCTTCTTAAGTTTTGCACTAGAGATAGCTAAGGATGCAAGATTCATATTGGTATCCACAGATAATGGCTTACTAAAAAATCATTGGCGTCGGACAGATGTTTAGTTTTGACTGATATTTCAAATGAGAGGTGTTCACAAGCTGCTTCACGTGAGACTCTTGGTTTCAAGTTTGAGTCAAGTCTAAAGTCTCTGGGGTGAAAGTCTGAGTTGACTCTCAAGTCTTTGGGGTACAAATCTGTGTCAAGCCTCGAGTCTCTGTGGTGTAAGTCTGAGTTGACTCTCAAGGTTTTGGGATACAAGTCTGAGTCGAGCCTCGAGTCTCTGTGGTGTAAGTCTGAGTTGACTCTCAAGTCTTTGGGATACAGGTCTGGGTCAAGCCTTGAGTCTCTGTAGTGTAGGTTCAAGTTGAGTCTCAAGCCTTTGGGGTGAAAGTCCAAGGTGACTCAGGTCTTTGGGGTACAAGTCTGAGTCAAGCCTCGAGTCTCTGTGGTGTAAGTCCGAGTTGACTCTCAAGTCTTTGGGATACAAGTCTGGGTCAAGCCTCGAGTCTCTGTAGTGTAGGTTCAAGTTGAGTCTCAAGTCTTAGGGGTGAAAGTCCAAGGTGACCCAAGTCTTTGGGGTACAAGTCTGAGTCGAGCCTCGAGTCTCTGTGGTGTAAGTCAGAGTTGAGTCTCAAGTCTCTGGGGTGAAAGTCTGAGTTGACTCTCAAATCTTTGGGGTGAAAGTCATAGTTGACTTTCAGGTCTTTGGGGTACAAGTCTGGGTCAAGCCTCGAGTCTCTGTAGTGTAGGTTCAAGTTGAGTCTCAAGTCTTAGGGGTGAAAGTCCAAGGTGACCCAAGTCTTTGGGGTACAAGTCTGAGTCAAGCCTTGAGTCTCTGTGGTGCAAGTTAGAGTTGAGTCTCAAGTCTCTGGGGTGAAAGTCCAAGTTGACTCTCAACTTTTTGGGATACAAGTCTGAGTTGAGCTTTGAGTCTCTGAGGTGTAAGTCCGAGTTGACTCTCAAGCCTTTGGGTACAAGTCTGTGTCGAGTTTTCGAGTCTCAGTAATGTAAGTCCGAGTCGAGTCTTCAGTCTCTGTGGTGTAAGTCCAGTCAAGTCTCAAGCTTTTGTGGTGCTAAGTCCTGGTCAAGTTTCGGGTAAGGTAGATGTAATCCCAGTGTCTACATTTTATAAATGTTTATGTATCGGCATCAGCAGACATTTTCAAGACAAATATCAGATGCTGGATTTTGTAATTTTTCCATTTTATATATTTTTTTTGTTTCATAGCTTCGATGTGTGTTCAAATGTGTCTTCGTTGATCGGCTACATTTGTGGTAAAGGCAAAATTGTGTAAACTTAATTTGTCAGTCTATCATTTTCAAGTGTTTTGCTGTGTGTCTGTGTGTGTTGTACCTCTCCACGATGCGCTCCAGCGTAAGATTTCTGAGACAGTCCATGAGTCCTCGCTCTCCCAGCTCCACGTCACAACGACAGGTCGGACAGGGAAACATCATGATCAGGACAGGAGTGTCCTTCCTTCTACGACCCGGATATGTTCCACAAACTGTGAGAGAATGAGAGAGACAGAGAGAGACAGACAGGCAGAGAGAGGTGGGAAAAGGTATAAACAATCACTTTAGGTTCAAAACAGACATCCCAGCATTTGCTGAACTGCTTAAAACAGAGTGTGAACGACCCTCGGTTTTAAGGAGGAAAGGGGACATGGGAGCTGGGGGTTTTAATGAAGATTCCTCTTGGCTTTCCAGCTGTCATCGAAATAAGACACAACTATAAGACATGAAAAGCGTTCAGCCTGCTTTGTTGAAGGCTCTTAGGCTGGTTCTGATGTTGTACAGTCAGTTTCTCTCTTGGTTCCCACCATGCAGCTGCAACAGAGAGGCAAATAAATAGCAGGTAGTAAATCACACACAGGTGAATCGCACGACCTAATCTGCTGGCTTGCTGAGCCACACACAGAAACCGAAGATACTGATTAACAACAATGAGGTTTTTATTTTAATGTAGCAACATTTCAGGCTCAATGCAGCTTTCAAATTGGATGCTAATAATACAGTAATAATTATACTGTTAAAAGAGTGGGGTAACGCTGCTTTCACTGGCAGAGAAGTAGAAGAGTGCTGTAGCTCGAGTGCAAGTAGGCTGGCACACTGACAGCACAGCACCAGAAATACTACCAGTTACACCTGTCACAACTGTTACATAATCACCTGATTGCAATGATTTCAGCTGACCACAATCATTTTCCACAGCTGACAGCTTACATACACCAACCAGCCACTTCATTAAGTTCACCTCCTTGTTTCTATACTCATTGTCCATTTTATCAGCTCCACTGACCATATAGGTGCACTTTGTAGTTCTACAGTCACAGACTGTAGTCCATCTGTTTCTCTGCATACTTTATTACCCTGTTCTTCAATGGTCAGGACCCTCACAGGACCACCATAGAGCATGTATTATTTGGGTGGTGTATCATTCTCAGCACTGCAGTGACACTAACATGGTGGTGGTGTTTTAGAGTGTGTTGTGCTGGTATGAGTTTTTTACACCTCAGTGTCACTAATGGACTAAGAATAGTCCACCAACCAGAAATATCCAGCCAACAGCATCCTGTGGGCAGTGTCCTGTGACCACTGATGAAGGACTAGAGGATGACAAACTGTGCAGCAGCAGATGAGGTCCTGTCTCTAACTTAATCAACAAGGTCTACCAACAAGGTAGGAGTGTCTAATAGAGTGGACAGTAAGAGTGTGATGCTCTGGGTGATGTTCAGCAGGGAATCCCTGGGCCCAGGCATTCATGTGGACATCATTTTGACTATTTTTGACACCTAAACATCGTTGCAGACCAGGAACACCACTTGGAATGGTACTGCAAAGGTATTCCCAGATAGCAGTGCACTCTTTCAGCGAGATAATGCACCCTGCCATACTACACACCTTGTTCATGAATGATTTGAGGAGCATGACGAGGAGTTCAAAGTGTTGCCCTGGATTTAAATGCCCCAGATCTCAATCCAATGGAGCATCTGAGCATCTGGGATGTGCTGGAACAAGTATCGGCTCCACCTCGCAACTTACAGGACTTAAAGGATCTGCCGCTAATGTCTTGGTGCCAGATTCCACAGAACACCTTCAGAGGTCTTGTAGAGTCGGAGCTGCTTTGGTGGCACAAGGAGGACCAAATAGCATATTGGCAAGTGGTTGTAATGTTTTGGCACATCAGCCTATGTAAGATTAGCAGGGTGTGGTTACATATGTGTGTATGTGTGCATGTATTGACAATCACAAAGCGAACTTAACCATTAAACGCTTGTGTGAGTTGAATTGAGGACGAGAGAGAAAGTGTTAGAGCGAAAGAGATGAGAACGGAGAGAAACTGGGTGTGCTGACACATTCAGAATTAGCCCAGCTGCTGCCACACACACACACACACACACATACACACCTGCAGAATAAAGAAAAGTACATCTGTTTAGCGAAACAGCACACACACAAAGATGCAGAAATGCAACACATCGTGAGTGATGAAGTCATACTTAATGATGTCATTTTACATTTCATTAAGGTCAGGTGCTCTTACTCATTACACTGGTGTCACTGTATAAAAAACACGAGGCTGATTCAGCTGCTGTCTAAGACATATCATCCAATCAAGACGCAGCACGTTACACTTGCTCTTTTGTATGATTGGATCTCATTTCACCTTTATATATATATCAGGCCTTCACAATCTATGCAGTGCTTTTTTAAACCTTTCAGCTGCATGCTGGCATGGCTCTAGCACGCATTCCGTCTCGCCCCAAGGTTGTCCTCAATCTTTTCATGATTAAAAATAACAACTTGTTAAATGAGAGAGGCAGGAACAGTATTGAAAGCTGAATGCCAGAACCTGAACGCAGACAAGCAGGTCCGAGTGCTTTATTGCTTCAGGATCATAACAACTAGACCCTGTTTACACTTGGTATTAAGATGCATCCCGTATCTGCATCTAAAAGACTTTATCCGTGTTTGTAATAGGAATGTTTTCAGATGTAGCTGATCCCGAGGTAGGCTATTCCCGTATCTTGCACACAGCACGATCCTTGACGATGCCGCAGCCATACGTGTTCGGGGGTCAAATGCAGTTTAGGATATTTGTATCAGTAGTTTTACAAAGTGGCAAAGCTAAATGATCTCCCATAGTTGTGCGGTACGTAAGGAGGCATGACCAGGCTGTGCAGAGCCGATAAAGGGAACACCCCCACCAGCTGAAACAGTCCAAATGAACTCTGACACATGTAGGAACCGAGCTTTAAAGGTTCTCAAATCTAAACGTTCAATATCTTCAGAATGGAATATCTTCAGCTGGAAAATTGATCGAGGCTATCTGACAGTGTACGCTTTAATGCCAAGTGTAAACAGGGCCTAACTGAGCTCATAAACACACATACAAATACATACACACCTGTCCTGAGCACGCGGTCGAGGCGATCGGTTTTTGGCGGGGGTCGACGGGCCTGCCGGGGTGAGCGGGTGTTGGGGCTGGATGTGGGCGTGTTGGGCTCCGGGGGTAACTCAGGGGGAGGATAGCCCCTTTGGACCAACACCTCAGCTGCACACAAAACACATACGCTGTGCAGGCATGGCAGGACTATGGGCTGCTTCACCATCTCCTCACACACCGGACAGCGCAGCTCACGCTCCATGCTCTTCATATTGGACTGGAGGAAGAGAGAATGGTTAATAATTACCGGCTAACGGATAGGAAGTTGATGGAAAGCCTCTCTGCACATATAGAACACATCTGACTTATATAATCATATCCTTTGAGTTTCAGAAGCTGTTAAATATATATTACGGACACAGGGCAGTGAATCATTCGGCCTGGTCAGGGAGCAAGAGCTTACACATCTTCCTTTAAAGAACAGTTCGGCAAAAAAACAAATCTACACAATTTTCTACTTAACCCCTGACAGTTGATTAGCCAAAACATGTCTGGTGTCCAGATTTTCCCTCTTTAGGTTAGAACTGGAGCTATGAGGCTAACACTGCTAACAAATAGTAGAAGTCAGTAGTCACCTAAAATCTCTTCTATAAATACTTGCCTAAAACCTCCCTTAATCTGCTCAAACCAGATCCAGGTCTTCATTAGGGTTGTGCAGACTTGTGTCAATGTGTTTTAGGACACAGTATGACTTCATGTGAACGATAAAAATGAACAAAATGGTGTAGGTAAGCGCTGGAATTTGGCACCCCGATGGAAAAATTGCTTCTTGTGTTTGTTAGCAACATTAGCTAACAACCCTTGTAGCTCCAGTTTTAAACCAATGATGCTAAATTTGGGCACTAAAAATATCTTGGGTGATGGACTACATAACTTCAAATATATTTTTAGATCATTTTTACAAAACAGTAATTTGGGACAGTGAACACTGCGATTTCCGTATTCATTTTGCAGAGGTCTCCATTTTTTCACCTTCACTTTTCTCCAAGTACTAAAGATCAGAAGTCTCAGGTGAAAGGAAAAGTGGCTTAAAGCTCAGAAAGTTACAGAGAAAAGTCTTTTACTACCAATAATACAACGTTGAGGGATCAAATTTTGAAAAGAAAAGCCAAGACAAAAAACAAGAAATGTATTTCAAGTTTCATAAAATGATTCAGCATCCAGACCAGAAATGTCTCGTGAAGAATCGACTCTTTTGAATAAACTGAACCGATTCACAATTCAAACTGAAACGAAGTGTTTTAGCATCTAGGCAGTGTTCGCGGTATAAGCTTAAAGACTAATACAACTGGAATCTTACCTACATATTTTGTGTACTGTTTTACAGTTTAACCCCATAAAAGCGTAAAACAAAACAAATTATTAAGAACAACCTTCGTGGAATCGGTTGAACTCAGTGAAACGGACAGCTCGAAAGAATCGGCTCAGTAAATTGAATCGACCTTCCTCACACGCTCCGTCACTATGGCAACTAGCTTCCCTACCAGGACAGCAGCACGTCCAGGGCCTGTTGTTTTTTTTATCGGTATTTTACTGAATATTCTTATTTTTATTATTCGTTTTCTATCTTTATGTACTAATTACCGTCTCACTATGTTATACTGTAGTTTCCCCACAACATACTGTCCGTAAAAATTACATTAAAATAGTAATTTACCGTTTATAGACATGAGAGTGTGGCACAGCTAACCTACACAAGCTAAAGCGAAGGCATTTTTCCGTTGAACTAAAGCCAAGACCACCTGACAGGCCCTCCATGAGGCCACTGGTTTTACAGAAAAATATTGGAAAAAAAGCTTGTAATGTCTATGGAGCAATTCAAACAAGGTTAATACTTAAAAATATGTGCTATTAATAGCAAATTTGGAACAATTTACGTATAAACATTTCTCTCAGGATGAGGCTAAAGTTGTTTCACTGTTCGCCAGCCTCTTGTTCGAATTTTAGCCGTTCCACCTTAAAAGGTGCAGCAGTTACATTCACAATCACAATCATCACAATGCAACCGCCGCACCATTTAAGGTGGAACGGGGAAATTCGAATAAGCTTCATACTTTCAGGCTGTACTGGCCAGTGAGTGGCCTGTTCGAAAGGTAGGCTGCTATTTTTGTCCCGAAAAAAAACGAACTAGGTTAGGAATGAAGCCTATATGGCCCAGATAAACGAGTCAAACTCCTCAGTAACAGGCAAATAACGCAAGTAATACTCACGCTGATGCGTACGAGAGCATCCATGATGGATGTAAAGGTTTGTAACTCCGCGTCTGTCATGACTGGGATGAGCCAAGGGTGTTAATATTGACTGAAAAATGCTATTTTCCTTCCAGGCTCATCTACACGTCGAGCATAGACCGTTTGAAGTCTGGAGGCAGCGGAGCATCAGAGGCGAATAAACGCACACGGTCTGGAGAACTGGCATCAACGGAGACTAAACTGTTGGCGAACGGCGTGAAGAACCGATTCAGCGAATGAGTCCAGTTTAAGTCCGTCCATTTCAGCGTTTAAGGATGCAGGTAAGACGCTCTGGGAGCAGGTGACTCGTGTCTTCCACTGTGTAGGGTCCTGATGAGACGAGGAGAGCATGCGTGCTGGATATCTGTGGACATAACGGCAGCAGCGGAGGGTGAAAAACGATGTAAAGACTGAAACAGACATTAAACATTAAAATCTACGCCAGAACTTTTATCAGCTCGTGATAGTTATCGATTTATATTTTATTTCTTTTTTTTTAAATAAATATGAATATGTGGTATGTGGTATGTGATACGCTGACGTTACACAGCAATAGAAAATATCCGCTTACATAAAATATTGCGCTGCACACTCGCGTCCAGCAGGGGGCGGAGGAGGGTTTTACCACATGAAGCTTCGGCTGAGTCTCAAACGGCTCCTTGCTCCCTATGTAGTGCACTATATAGGCCATATAATAACCGGGAGCAGGGAGCCATTTGAGTTTAAGCCTAATAGAGGTAAATGAACTACGGCCGCGTCCAGAATAGCATAAAATCATACATCCAAAAATTGTGCAGTCAATTGTTTAATTATAGTGTCTGTAATATAATCACATCTCCATATGTTTGTGGAAACGTTTTTGTTCTGAAATGAAGGGTATTAATAGGGTGTTTGTCTCACTTTTTGCTTTAGTAACAGCCTCTACTCTTTTGAGAAGGCTTTATACTGGATGTTGGAACATCTAGTCCACATGTTGGTGGATTTGATTGCATTCAGTCACAGGAGCATTAGTGAGGTCAGGTACCGATGTTGGATGATCAGTTCTGTCACTCCAGAGAATGCAGTTACACTGCTCCTCAGCCCAATAGGCCATTTTTAGAACTGTTGTATCAAAAAACACTATTTATCAGCTTGAAGCTGTAGCCCCCAAGCTACCAGGGGCCCCATTATTATGATACTTTTGTTTTTATATTGTAGCATCAGTCCAGAAGAAGATGCTGAAAACAGTGCGCATACAGGCCATAGGCTGTATACGTATATTCATGGTCTATCTTACAGGTAAACGCTCTCTTATTTATTGAACAGGTATTTTAAAGGCCCAGCCTAGCACTCCCCAATACGAAACATGGGGCAGGGAGTAATGCCAAAGGACATGACATACAAGGAGGGTAGACACTCATACACTCATAACCACTAGTTACACTACAAAGCCCACTCTCTTCGGACACAATTACACTAATAAACACAACCACTCAAACTACAACACATAGGCAACAACGGCAACATTGATCATCCTTTTTAAATGAATTGTCCTTTTTTTAAGGAGTGTAGTGCGTCCCGAGAGCCACTTTGCATGGCCCCAAACCCTAAGCTCCTCATGGCAGTGTGGCGCATGGCAAACGGCCCAGTATCATTTGAGTTAATCATGATTTTAACAGAAAACTATCAATAATGAGACGACTTTGCTTCCAAGACATCAAGAAGACAGACACGATGCACAGACCACTTAAACAGAAACTATGTCAATTTATGTTTATACATACACAAATATATATATATATATATATATATATATATACATACATGCACACAATCACTGTGCACTTTATTGGGAATGGCTTCTTGTATCTACACTCATTGTCCATTTTATCAGCTCCACTTGCCATATAGGTGGACTTTGTAGTTCTTCAACAAGTGGATCAGACACAGCAGTGCTGCTGGAGTTTTTAAACACTGTGTCCACTCACTGTCCACTCTATTAGACACTCCTACCTTGTCAGTCCACCTTGTAGATGTAAAGTCAGAGACGCTCATCTGCTGCTGCACAGTTTGTGTTGGTCATCCTCTAGTCCCTCATCAGTGGTCACAGGACGCTGCCCACAGGACGCTGCCCACAGGACGCTGCCCACAGGACGCTGTTAGCTGGATATTTTTGGTTGGTGGACTATTCTCAGTCCAGCAGTGACACTGAGGTGTTTAAAAACTCCAGCAGCACTGCTGTGTCTGATCCACTTGTACGAGCGGCCAGTGCAACACACACTAACACACAAACCAATATATATTTCATTTCTGTGACTTAGTTTACATTTTATATACCTTTTTCCTGATCATAATGAATGAAGTCATGTTTTCTTTTGAATAACAAAGAATATGATTGAGGTGGATCAGCTGGGCCACTTCAGGCCCCCCAGTGGGTACATCTTAAAGTTCAATTCACTAATAAGAAGGACTGTCTGGATACTTTTGGACACATGCTGGCATATTTTGTTAAAAGAATATTGGATAAATTCACAAGGTGGTGGAAATGTATAATAATCCTGAGTTTAAAGGCCTATAAAATGATTGTATCAAATTATTTTGACAAACTCTTATTGATTGTTGAGGACCAGCTTTACGGAGAATATTCAGGTCATAGTATTTATTTCCTTGGAATCCTGGGAAAACAAAATTTGGCAATCATAATTGTTCGTATTTCACAATATTTCTTTTCTACGGAGCCCCGCTGGTGACATCCTGTATAAATAAAAATAATGAGTGGCCACGACTTAATCATCTCATTCCCACGCCTTACTAAGTCGTGGCCACGACTTAGTAAAGCGTGGGAACGAGATCCTAATGCGTGGCCACGACTTCGTAAGCGGTGATCTCGTTCCCACGCTTTACTAAGTCGTGGCCACGACTTAATCATCTCATTCCCACGCCTTACTAAGTTGTGGCCACGCATTAGTGTCAGATTTACCCCTGAAGAGCAGCTTTTTCGTGCATTATTCCATTCTTTACAGTAGGGATTTGGAATAATGAGATGCCAAATCCATTTACATTACATTAAGGAACCTTCATCAGTGTGAACTGTAGGTGGCAGCAAGACGAGTCACAGCGTTCAGGCTGAACACAGGTCTAAAAGAAGGAGGAGGGAGAAGAGAAAGTAGCTGAAGTGCCGAGATCTAGATAGACTGCCTGGATCAAGACATCTTTCAGTCTGTTTTTCGGAATAAAGGATGGGTACGGCATTGTTTTTTACTCTGTATTTTAAGGGAGACTGTGAGGAACCGCAGGGTTCACGGTTAACGTTACAGCTGTAGGTGAACGAGTCCGGGTCAGTGGCTGGCAGTGCAGACATAATGTTGATTATTCATCCTACAAGTGTATTGTTTAGAATATTACCCCAAAAATGCAGATCGTTATGCTCTGATTTATTATTTTTGTTTATAATAACGTTCGTCTGATTTTAGGGTTTAGTTCTCCTTGCTAGCTAACCTATGTACACATTAGCTACCTACGTTAGCTTAGCTCCAGCTATATAGCAACGTATAAGCCTAATTTGGTCATTTGGTTTGCTGTACAATTACAGTTTGGTCGCACAGGTCTTCTGCACGTGGGTGTCACGGTGCAAACGCAAGTTATTAATATACACATATATTTTAAAGGTTTTTTAGGTCAGTAAGTATCCCAGTGGAGAGCCGGTTTTGTTTCCAGCCGGAACAGAATGAGGAGTGTACACATGACGTGTCCTACACGGAGCCTTTAGCGCATCTGTTCCGTCAGAAAATAAATGTTTTCTCGTTAATTTTGCCTTAAATTCGTCTTACTTGGCTTGTATTTTAGGTCGCATAGTTGTCCTCGATAAAATTCGGTTTTAATGAATTAATTGTAACGTAACTCAATGTGACTTAAAGGGGAACTCCACCGATGTTTCGAAATTTCTGCATATCGGAGTTGATATGTAAACTTTCAGAGCGGCTTGGTGTGAAATGCTCTGTGCGGGAGAAACTTGCCATGTCAATGTTGCCCACAGTGGTGGTGACAGAAACCTCACTAAAGCTTATTACACAACATTATTAGGAATATCATACCTAATGTCTGAGATTTTGTGTTAGGATGATTTTGACATTGAAGGTTTTGGCTTAAAAATATATTTTTTTTAATTGATGAATAGCAGAGAGGTACATGCAGAGCATTATAAGTACAATATAGTACCCAAGCTTTCAGGTTTGCCACTATTGTACCATTATCAGCATAACATATATAAACCTAGAAGATGTGTAAGCTTATTGGTTATTTTAGGATAGTAAATAAAATACATTTGCACTGTAGGCTTTGCAACCCTTGGCTCTTATCACCATCATTGTAATGAAACCAAGAGTCAGCAGTTTTCTTTGCACTTAACCACTCAACGATTTAGTCCTGCAGAATTTTCTGAAAAATGGCAGAATCCTTCCTTAAAAGAACAGCTCGAATATTTTCTTCTAAAAAAAATGAAATTTTCCAGAGTTTGTAGGTTTTTTAGAGTTAATTTGGTGGGTCTTTTCTAAACTTATTCATTTCTAACATGAAATGTGCAACATAATGCTGCCTCTCATTGGCTTCCACGGAGCATAGAACAACGCATTTTTAATGCACATGCAGTGATAATTCTCCAATATTCTCCAATAGTTGTGCTGTCATCTTATGGTGAGACCTGTTAAAGGACATCACACACCTGCCAGGGACTATTTAACTGCTGGGCTCTCCTTTGTTGTGGGTAGTGATGAGCTTTCCTCCATCTTGGGCAGTACAGGCTATCAAGCTAATTGATGAATAGTGATTTTGTGTGTTCAGTGAGTACATTAAAATATTCCTTCATAATAACTCGAGAACTTGATGTTTTTATATCGCTGATTGCACAAGAACCTTTTGGAACTGAAACAGAATGGAGTTCTATGCCTTGTAGAAGCCTACAGCAGAGAATTTTGTGCAGTATCAAACATTCATTCAATACCCAATAGCACATTGTTTATTAAAAAATACTGGAATAGTGTTGCATTATTGCTATAAATGATAAATGAAGGCCTCATAATATTAGTCTGTTGTGTTCTGCGACTTGAGCAACTGTGTTATGTTTATTTTAATACCCTTTCTCTGTCTGTCTCTCTCAGCGGTGAACACAGGGACGTCTCTGGTGTTGTCCAGCCTGTTGTCCGTGCTGGTCTTTGCAGGGATGCAGATGTTCAGCAGGCAGCTGGGCTCCTCTGAGTGGCTGACCATCCTGGGAGGCTTCCTGGGCTCTGTGCTCTTCGTCTGCTCCCTCACTGTATCCTGCTATAGCTTCTGATCTCTCAGCACAGTGACCCCAGATCAGATGGTTTCAACACATGCACTGCTTTTAAAGAGGAATTCAGCTGATCATTTAAAATTTCAGTATAATTCAGTGGTTGAGAGTCCTTTGGAGTGGTTTGATGTGAAATGGTTGATTGTATAGAAACTTACTGACTCAGATTTCTTTACAGTGGTGGTGAATGGAACCCAGGGTCATAAATTATAGCCATTTTATGTACTACCCAAAGTAAGCAGTGAACTTGCACATGTCTGAGTTTTGATATGTAATGTTAATGATGGTAAAATAGTGGTAAAACATTTACGCAATAACTTTCTGTGAGGCATTAAGCGCCCTGGATGTCTGGTTCCTATCACCACCAACATGAACAGTTCTGATTTTCACATCACATCATTTCACATCACATCATTCCACATCAGACCACCCTGAATGACTTTTTTTTTTTACATCTTAACAATTTAATTATGCTAAAATTTTGAAAATTCAGTGGAGTTCCCCTTTATGTACTACAGGGATTGTACACATCAATAACAAAGAAGCATTTTAGGAAGATGGGGTGGGTGATATGGCAAAAACATATATAACGGTACTTAAAGACATTACAAGATGCATAATATTTAGTTTTTCTGATATTTAATAAGTTGGAACAGACCAAATAGAATCTGTATTGTACTATATAAAAATACTTATAATAATAATAATAATAATAATACTAATAAACCTACAACTACAGGGATTTCCAGGATTCAGTGTTTTACAAACTGCACTAAATCAAACTAAACAGGCCTTATTGCGTTCTCTGCACTTGTAGATAGTGTTCTTTAAATGCTGACAATATCCATCATATGCCCTAAAAAAGCAAATCTGTGACAATTGATCACAATAACAATAAAATATTGTAATATTGGCCACAGTCGTATTGGGCACACCTTGTCAAATGACATGTTTTGTTGAATTTCTAAGTGACAATAAGTTAACACGTCCTCTACAGAGAACACAGTTTAATGCGCAGCTACTGTTTATTTGTTAAGTTTAACATAGTGGAACGACATAAAATATAAAATGTGCCTGTCAAAATGTTAAATTCAGAAAATAAACAGTAATTGTTTATTAAAATGTGCAGAAGTGTGTTCTCTGTTGAGGATGTTTCAACTTACTTTCACTTATAAAATCAACAAAACGTCATTTGATTAGGGGTGTTCAAACTTTTGCATATGACTGTATTTGAGGAGGGTGGGGTAAAAAGTTTAAAATGCATAAAGTCTGTTTAAACTACAAAACACCTCTTAGCGTAACAGCAAACTGTGCTTAGCTAGGCTGTGCAAGCTTTACTCCAAGGGGAATTCAACCAGTTTTTCAAAATTTCTGCATAATTAGTTGGTAAGATATGTCAATATTTAATAATATATATGGATATATATAAAAAAATATATAATTTGTTTATATCTAATCTTAAAATATAAGATATAAGATAAGATCTAAACAAATCCATTCTGAGTGGTTTGGTGTGAAATGCTCCATTCTAGAGTAATAGTCAGGATTGTTCACAGTGGTGGTGATGGGAACCAGACGTCTGAAAAGTTTAATGCCTCTGAAAGCTCCTTCACAGAAAGTTATTATATGAAATGATAATGAATACGCTGCCTGTTGCCTGACACATTTTATGACAATAAGGTAACATTTTGGTCAGAAATGTATTATTAAAATCCATTCATGATGGAGGGGTACATGCAGGATGTTGTAAGGCATAATTGTGCCCAACGAAAGCTTAATTTTTCAGATTTACTACAACTTTACCATCATCAGCATTACATATAAAAACTCAGAAGGCACACAGAGGTTCACTGGTGGTTTTAGATAGTAAATAAAATGGCCATATTTTGTGTTTTAGAAATCAAGACCCCTGGTTCGATTCACTACCCCTGTAAATAAATCTAGGCAAGTTTCTGTACAATTAACCATTTTAAATCAAACCACTCTTAGTGACTTTCTTTGCATCTCAATGATTGAATTCTGCAGAAAATTTGAAAAACAGATTTGAATTCCTCTTTTAAAAACATCGCCATCTCCTGGTTGCTTTTTGTATTGCTATAGAAGGGGTCCACTTCCTATAAGACTAAAATCCATTAGAAATTTTTCTTTTTTTTTTCTATAATTCTGTTTAGTTCATGATGCAGTGGATATTACAGATTTTTGAGTTTCTGTTTTTAAATTAACTCATTTTAATATATACTACAGTTAACAAACATGTTCTTTAGCTGCTAGTTTTTGTTGATAACAACTCTGGTCTAAATCTCACAAAAATATCTGTCCTGTGAGGGAGGAGGAAGTGCATCATAATATGTGCTCAAATAATGGGTGCAGATATCCACTGGCGGCTTTGCTCAGCATGTGAGCCTAAGAGTCGTAATGCAAAGCCTGGGCAAATGGCATGTTTTGTTGATTTTCTAAGTGAAAATAGGTTTAATACATCCTCTACAGAGAACAGACTTCTGCATATTGTAATGCACAGATTCTGTTTTAGAATTTGCAGAAAAATACTATATTTAAGTGTGTTCTCTGTAGCAGATATGTTAACTTATCTTAACTTGAAAAAAAAATCAACAAAACATGAAATTTGACCTGGTGTTTAAACCTTTGCGCGTGGCTCTATGTGAACAAAGCCCTGCTTTTCACAGTATCATCAGAATTTGTTCTCCTATGTTTTTCCTTAACCTTTAATTCTAGGCCTTCAATAATCTGGAGAATCTTGTCTTTGGTAAAGGCTTCCAGGCAAAAATCTTCCCAGAGAGTGAGTGAGCCAGTCTGAAATAGTGAATTCTCATATAATCACATTATTATGGGGGCAGGAGGTTAGGGAACCAGCCTTGTGACCAGAAGGTCTCCTGTTCGATCCCCTCAGCTGACAGTATGTGACTGAAGTGCCCTTGAGCAAGGCACCTACCAAGTGTGCTCACTGCCCCCTAGTGTGTGTGTTCACTAGTGTGCATGTATGTGTGCATGGGTGTTTCACTGCATGGATGGGTTAAATGCGGAGGTCTAATTCCTCTGTGTTGTCTTGCAACACTGGCGCATGTCAAGGTGTCATTCATAAATATATACATATATATATATATATATATATATATATATATATATATATATATATATGAATGACACCTTGACATGCGTATATATATATATATTAGGGGTGGGAATCTCTAGGCACCTCACGATTCGATTATGATTCAGAGGGCTGCGATGCGATTATAAAACGATTATCGATGCATCTTTTTTTCCTATATAGCATTTACATTTTCTCACTGTGTGAGCTCAAGTTTCGAGTTCAAGTTTATTTGTCATTTGCACAACATGTCAGGATATTTATGCAGTGAAATGCTTGTGGTGAGGCTCAGCTACAGAAGCTACATCACTCTACAGAAAGTAAATAAGTTAAAATAAAAATACAAGAAAAACCAACTGAAATATATTAAATATACACAAAATATACAGAATATAGATACAATATACATTTTAAAGTGACTAACTGACTCAGTGTTATTGTTATTTAAAGTGTTTCGGTACTTTTAAAGCAAAGTATTTGTAATGATCCATAATGAATTTACTTCCAATATCTTTTTTAATAAATCAAATGGAAGTGATGTGGCAAGTGAACTAGACGGCTCTCATTCAGTGCTCTTGTTTGGAGCACGAGAAGCTGCTGCTACTCATCTGCGATAAAATGCGCAGTTACGGTGAAATAAGATCCAGTGGCAGTGGATATCCACACAGCACGTTACAGCTATTCTACCCGTTTTCTTTAGTGATTTTATAACTTCGGTTTTGGTCTCGTTGTAGAGACGGGGGGGATCGCTGTGTTAGTAAAGTATCTTTGTGACGGGTTGTGTGAAACATAGCGCGAAAGCCCTGTTTCGCAATGACTGAGAACCGGCGTGCAGACTGCAGGTCACACAGCAGCGATGCGTTATTCGCGTTTATAAGCAGCGCAGTTGGTTTCCTGATACGTTAAATCTACAACGAGAGACTGTCACACACTAAAAAGTGGCGAAGCTGAACTCGCTTCTCTTTCGAATTCTCCCGTTCCACCTTAAACGGTGCCGCATTTTCATTCAGCGCCTCAGTCAGAATTTAAGGTGGAACGGGTAAATTCGAACAAGAAGCTGGAGAATAAGAAGCGACTTCAGCCTCGTAAGACAGTCGTACGCTGAGAGACATTTAACTGATCAACTTCTGAGGAAAAGTTTTCTGGCGGCTAAAGCTGAGCTAAAGCTTAAAGCAGAGCAAAGTAAATCTGCGCTCTCGTTTATATTGTTTAGTCTATACTAGGACATTAACACACACTGAGACATACTGGACATTGTGTTGCGGCTCCCAAGCTGGTTTGATTTATGTTGAAAGGACAAAATGTCTCTTCTTATCATTTGTGTTGTGACTCCTGATCTAACCTGGCTTTAATGCAGAGGGAGCCGCTCGGATTTCTCACTCATCCAGTTGTGTTTTTGTTATGTGCCGCCACAGACTGTCCGGGCGCTGCACTTACCACTAATATGTATATATAATATGTATATCTCGCTGCTGCAGGAACAAAACCATGTATCTCCATTTTTGGGGTTTTTCAGTTTTTGACATAATTACCTGACAAAATACCTGTATGGACAAAATTGCCTTGGAAAAAAATCTGGTTCCACTGACTTACATTAAAAGTAAAGTGGGTTTTTTCCTTCTCCTGTAATGTTACCATTTTGGAGATACGAGGTTTTGTTACGACAGCAGCAATGTCTTCCACCGGGCACCTTCAGAGGTCTTGTGGAGTCCCCGTTTTGGCGGGTTGGAGCTGGTTTGGTGGCATGTGTAGGACCAACAGAATATTAGGGAGGTGGTCATAGTATTTTGACTTATTGGTGTAAGCGTGCATTAGGTTTAATAATGACACAGTTGTTATTAACAGGGCTTTGAAATGTTTAGTGAACACATAGGCATAAACTAACTGTCTCTTTCTCTCTCTCTCAGTTCTGTTGTGCCTGTTTCTATCCCTCTTTGCCTCCGGTTTGGTGCATCGCGTGTGTGTCACCACATGGTAAGCTAAAGAAATGAAATGCAATTATTTTTTAAAGAATTTAAGATTCGAAGTAGAGCACAAATGAGATTGGTTGATTGATACTGATGATCCACAGTTTTTACAGATATGGGGAAAAAATGTAAATAGTTGAGTTTTTTGAGATTCGAACCCACGATCTCCTGACGAAAGGGCAGAACATTTACCGAGTGTCTTTACCACATATCACAGTAGAATAGTGTTGTAGGTAGGGGTGCAACGATTATTCGACTTACTTAACTAACTTGGTAGTCAATTAGTTGGTGACGTCATTACGCGTCTGTCTCGCGTTTTTATTTACTTTTTTTGTATTAGCAGGAAAGTTCATTAAAACGGTGAATGTTATTCATCATTATTGTCTTCATTGTTGGTTAGCAAATGCATAAAACAACCCCAAGCTAATTTAAAAGCTAATAGCTACACAAGCTATTTCGTTTCAGTAATCGATATATTACGCAACTATCAAATTAGTTGTCTGTTGCAGCCCTAGTTGTGGGTGATTGTTCCATGAGGCCTGTAGTGATTCTCAGGCTTTAATTGTAATCATATTTTGATGATTTGTTTCTTTCCCTTTGCAGTTTGATATTCTCACTCTTCGCCCTCTACTACATCAACAAAGTATCTGCAGCTCTTTACCAGGCTGCGGTTCCGGTGGCAACTCCCGCCAAAACCACCAGCAAGGGAAAGAGGAAGAACTAAAGCACTGAAACTGTCCGTTATTGTCCAAACAGCCCTACACATGGCGTCAGTGTACCACAGTGAAGCGAATCATTACACTGCAGTAACATTTTCTTTAGAAGTTAAAAGATTGTATGATTTCTACATTCCATTCATTCCCAGTCATTTTTAAGTCCCAATCAGGTGTTTCTGGAATGGCATCACAGCTGCCCTAAGGCTAGCTGGGAGTTTAAAGAGCATATTATTAATGGACATATTTGTATGTTTACGCAGTTGCAGTCTTGCAGCCTGCTTGTTCACATGGAAAAGCCTGAGTTTCTTCAGTGGAATAATCTGGCCTCCCACTTACAGTGATTCCTGACAGGAAATGTCAAGATAAGTCACTATCTTGTCTTGCCGGTCATAGCTGTGTGAATTGGTTCCACTTACAAAGTATTTTTGTTAAAGGATTTGTTATTAAAACACTGAAAAAGACTATCAAATGGCTGTAGTTTTTCATTCTGACTGATTTATGCCTTCATTTTCACTGTAGCAGAAGCACACAAAAGTAATGGGTTTGTGTTGTTTATAAGCAAACAGCCGTAGGGTTTGCTGAGCATCATGAGACTCTCAGCGTCTCAGTCCTCGGTCATGTCCTGACTGCCTGTAAGTATACAACAGCAACACGTTTTTAAACTGCAAAGACATTTAAAGGAAAACGGCAGAGTTTTTCATTTGTTTCCCCGCATCTACGCTGTTGACCTCGCAGGCCATGTTTCAGACAAGATGTTTGATGTTTGCCTTATCAAATGAATTTAGATTTTATAATGAATTTTTATATATATATATATATATATATATATATATATATTCTGAAATCGATATCCACAACATGTTCCGAAAAATCTAGGAATGTTGTGAAATGTTCAAAAAACATATTAAACTGGTGCACTCGTGCTTTGGTTTAAAAGGAGCATAGTCCTGAGCAAAGATGGGTCGAGGCCCACCACTTTACCAAAAATGTGAAAATGTTTGCAAATAATTAACATTTCAAGGAAAAAATTTCTCAATTAGAAATTACTTAATCTATGGTGCGTAATATCATAAAATTCAGGTAATCCAGAGAAATGTCTCTGTGTAAAGATGTAAACGGTACAAAGCCAAAAACCAGAATTGAGGGCGCTACAATAAAACCCGATAGCCTTCTTTTATAGATATCAACACAGGGACACGAAAATAGTTTGACAAACCTTTGCCAGTAAACACAGTTTGATTTAAGACTGGACTACACACTGCAGAAGCCACGTCAAAAACATCCAGAAACGCCGCTGACTTCTCTGGGTCTGCCAAATCAACCTTTATGACAGTTTATGGAAATAATGGACATTCTCCAGACCAAAAAAGAAAGGAACCATCCAGATTGTTACCAGTGTAAATGTTCAAAAGTCAGGGTCTGTCATGGTATGGGTAACATTCATATCTGTGAAGGCACCATTAATACTTAAAAGATAATTACACATTTTGGAGGTTTTTTTTATGTTTTGTCATGGCAGCATGGCTGTGCAATCAGAGAGTGCGAGTGTTAGACCGGCCTGCCTGTTCCCAATTAAAAACGTGGCGCATTATGAAATAATGAAAAATTTAAATTTTAAAACTGAAACAATTAGTGTTTTCAGTTCTCAAACAGTTAAGTGTTGCTAGTTTTAAACACATCCTGTCTCAGCCTTTACAGGCATAATCTGGCTCTGAGAAACAGGCCCAGTATGTCATAAGATGTTCATACTTAAAGACTTTTCGAATGTGAGGGGTTTGTTTGACAAAAATCAACGCAGCCTGTACAAGATGAGAAAAACACGTTTTAGGAAACTGGAACAGGAGTCAGCCAAAGCTGGCACAACACTGATAGGGATGGAACAACACAAAGACCTAGTGCTCCAAAATGATCAGGAAAAGGTCATTTTTACATCTGCTCGATGTAGAGGACTTATTTTCCCTTAGAAAATCAACAAAACATGATTTGACCAGGGTGTTCAAACTTTTGCATACAACTGTAAATGGACCTTTCTACTGAATAAACTGCAGTCCCTTAATAATAAATAAATAAATAAATAAAAAAGTATTCAGAATTTAGATATTTACTGGATTATGTTATGATCTATTTAAACCCAGGGCATTAATTGAGATGGTAATAAGCTAAATATATACAAAATCATCATTTATAGGGCACTTTCTGTTGGGAGGTGTCTGTCCCAAACTCCTACATTTTTTTTTCCATTTTAAAGACTTTTTTAATTTTTTTTTTTTATCTTTTAAACTGAGATTGAAAGATTTACATTCATCATAAGTTTCATTTTTAAATGTAAAAAATGTCCCACGTTTTCGTTTCACCCCCGAAAAACAGAGGTTTTTAGCCCATAGACGGAGTCTTATTTTAGCCACACCCCTTCATTTTAAAGCATGAAATGAGACTGCATCCCTGTCTCTCATGACCACATGGTGAGCAGTTAGATCCCATTGTTTTGAAGTAAATGCCTCCCAAAGGCTGAAAATGAGCACACAACATTCAGTATTGTCACTACCAAAACACATTTTCTGCAATTAAGTAAACTTTTTTGTGTTTTAATGAAAAACTTGATGATTTTATGTGTGAACGACTGTTCACAGCTGTGTTTGCTAGTCATGTACTGGCTAGCATTTCTGAGTTCTGCTGAAAATGAGCTAAAATTGTCACTAATGAAGCAGTCACTGTGGGAAAATTTAGAAAAGTTTTACTAGTGTTATGATTGTTTTAGTACTAAATGGAATGTTCAAACATTTATTGTAATAAATTGAGCATAATTAAGTTATAGGGTAACTCAAAACAATTTTAGTCTGAAGTCCAAGTCAGTTAAAAGTCTGAAATGTGCTTGAACTCTGACTTTCAACCAATTTCGTAGAATAATCCATGTAATGTGCTTATGTTGACTTTATTAAGTGTTAATCTAAAGATACATACTATGAAGATCAATAGCGAATAATTGTTTTTGTGTGAATTGGTGCACTAAAACTGGTTCTTTGGTTCTTTGAAATTTCCTTGATTCAAATTTGGCAAAAGGTTGCTTAAAGTAAAATATCTTACATCAACCAAAACTAGAGTTCATAAAAAATTAAAAGATACAGAGACATTGGATCTCCCAACAAGCACCTGCAAGACCCGGTAGACCCCCAAGACTTCAGATAAAGCGCCCTTAAATGTTACGGATTCTCCCTTTGTCCCTCTCAGTGCATCTTTCGCCCCCTCTATGGTAGCCATGTGTCTTTTTGTTTTCTTGTGACGTGCTTTTTGTTGTTGTTCTGTGTCTCCTCCCTGGTCCTGCCCCCTTGTTATCTGTTCCACCTGCCTGTAGCTCCGCCCCTCATTAGTCCCAGGTGTGTCTTATTTCCCCTCTGTGTATTTATACCCCTGTGTTTGTTCAGTCTTTGTCTTGCATTGTGGATGTAACCTTGTCGCTTGTTTGCTTGTAGTTTAGTTTAGTTTATTTTTTGTCATGGACTCTAATTTCAATAAAAATAACTCACATTTGCATCCCGCCTCCATGCCTCAAACGTTACATTAAAGCTTTCATCTTTAAGAGAGAGGAGAAAATCAAGCTCCCTTATGGAGAAAAGGAAGAAAAGAAGAAAATGTGCTGTAGAACACCGAAACTGGACAAGTGTCTGAATTTATATTATGGATTACTTGGATTGTAGGAAGAACTTCTAAGACTGAACTTTGGAAAAATATCACTGCAGATTTCCTTGAAAAAAACTAAAAGCAAGTCTCCTGAAAAGAATGGAAGCTGTAATAGAGGACGTAATAGACCCAGAGAAGTCGGCAGCGTTTCTGAACAGTCTTAATTCAAATTTATTCTTAATGTTTATTGACAAACATTTGTCAAAGTATTCTCAAATCTATGTGTTGATATCCTTCTAGAAGAGTGGTTCTTAAACTAGTCCTCAGGAACCTTTAGATCAGGGTTGTCCAATCTTATCCACAAAGGGATCGGTGTGGTCTTCATTCCAAACAAGCTGGAGCTCATCTGATTCCACTTGTTTGATCAGTTGAGTCTTCAAACAGTTCATCATGTGTGCTCCTGCTTTGTTGGAATAAAAACGCCACACCGGCCCTTTACGGACAAGACCGGACACTCCTGCCCTAGACAAGCCGCATTTTTGCTCTACGTGTTGCAGGTTGTGTTGTGAGATGAGATTCTCTGAGGGCCGGTTTGAGAACCAGTTTTAAAACAATGACCTCTTGGTAAGTGGACAACTGCAGTCAGGTGATCCAGTCTATTCACATGTGAGTTTGACTTGCCCTTACAAAAAATGTTTTGGCCCACCCTTCTGTGGATAACATTGGTGTATATGGGTGGCCTGTTCATGTCATTTGAGGTTACAACTAAGAAATCTTCTGCTTTTGATAAAGAAAGAAAGAAAGAATTTCAGAAAACAGTATGTAAAGACATTTGACTAAACATTTATTTGTTAAAAAAAGCAGCATTAGCATTCTTCATATCAAAAATATATAGTCATATATGCAAAAAGTTTGAACAGGGAACAAACTTAAAGGGGAATATTGCATATTTATGAAATAATCTGTATAATTAAAAGACTGTGATGTTAACAAAGTCCCACAGAAGGGTTTGATGTGAAATGCTTCATTCTAGAGAAATTTGCCAAGTCCGAATTTTTCACAGTAGCGGTGATAGGAACCAGACGTCTGACGAATTGAATGCCCACAAAAGTGTGCTCATAGAAAGTTATTATACAAAATGGATAGGTATGCACTTATGCCTCACTGTTTTCCGGACATTTTGTTAGGTTTTGGCATAAATTAATTTAAGTTCATGCTTTAAAAAGGCAAAACAGTTCTCAAAGGAAACTAATTTACTGCTGTTTTTTTTACCATGCTCAATATTACAAACAAAAACTCAGAAGATACGTGTAGGTTCACTGGTGGTTTTGGATAGTAGATAAAATGGCTACATTAGTGCTGTTGAAATTGCGACACCTGGTTCCTATCACCACCACTGTAAAGAAATCAGGGGCAGTAAGTTTCTCTACAATGAAGCACTTCACATCAAACCACTCTGAATGATAGAGAAATGTAGAAATGTTGAAAATTGGGAAAAAAATAAAGTGTGTGCACAGGCCAAATTCTTTAAAGTTTTTCTTTCCCCCCATGTGTTAAACTTAGTAAATAGGCAGTAATTGTACATTTAAATTAAACTGTATTCTTCATTTGACCTGGGGCACCCAAACTTTTGCACATGACTGTATGTGCTGGATACATTCCAATTATGAAATAAGATTCCAGCCTTAGTTTAGCCTAATTTATAAAGGATCAACTGGCCATAAGTTGAATTGGAAATGTGAAATTTGGTGAACTTCCCCTTCTAGTTTCTTACACTGCTGTCCTGGAATGTAGAGAATGGGAACACTCCTGAAGGCTCTAGAACGATCGTCTCTAACAAAGGAGGACAGGTAAGGTATTGGACCTCATGGGCTGTATAACAGCTAGACATGTCTGGGCTAAACATTACTTTCAAAAGAGCTGTGATTATCACAGGTTTGCGCAAGCCCACTCTCCCTCTGTGCTCAACCCCACCTGGCAAAAATGGCTGTTTCTGATAATTACAAGGTTTCTGTCACTTGGGGAGGAATTTAAGACATATCTTTGCTCTGGACTCCCTCACTCGCTGCCACAGACACAGCTGAACGTCATACATAATTGTCCTTAAAAGAGCTGACATGATTTCTGGCTTGGACGATCTTGTAAGGGGGAAATAATCAGATGTTTGCACAAGAATGATGTTACCAGGACACACCCAGCACTGACATTCACAGGCTAAACGGAGGGTGTAGGGCTTGGGCTGCTTTCACGAAAATGCTCCCCTCCACCCTGACCCCAGCACTGTTTAAAGAAATACTGTATACAGTGCTCTGCAAAGTCAATAATTAAAATTTCCAGTCAAAACAGCCATTAAGTGCAAGTTATTCATTTTCTGGAGAAAAAATTTCTTCTGAGAAGATTAGATATAAGAGAATCCCTATGCATAATAAAGAGGAACGGAAAATCAGTCGGAAAAAAACTCCCAAAAAAATTGATTAAAAGATATAAAGAAACACTCCTAACAACCACCAGGCAAGACCTGTTAGAGTTTTGTAAATGTGTGATTCTTCTCCAGACTGCTGGGGGATGCATCCCACTTCTGACACCAATGTGAAACATAGCGCTTTACACAAACACTCTTTATTAAACATAGCAACAGCAGAACACCTGCTGTTCAGCACTGGCTGACACGGCCAGGAAGTAGGCAGGTCACTTTAAACCACACAACTCATCTTACACTGATCAGCAACAACTATTGACAAGATTTAAGTCTCTCCTACCGCAAATTTTGTACTCCCATATATCTTTTCAGGCTTTTTTAAAAATCAGATTACTGGGGGAGGGGGTTCAGGGTCAAAATAATACTCAAATGCTACTTAGACATATTAAAGCTTATTAAATCAAAGATGTTGTTGAAAAAGTATAACTATTATTATATATATATGAAACCAAGATTGAGTGCAAAGATTGCACCATTGCCTATGCAGCACATTCATTTTCATTCAGTTTTTAAAGATATTTTTAATCACCGCAATCATATAATCATTGTTAGTAATTGCTCCATGTAACTGAAACATGTAAATAAGAGGTAAAAAATATATCACAGTTAGGAATTTGGGCCATATCATCCAGCCCTAAGTGTACCGTAACAGGTCATGGGCCACTGCTAATCCACTGTTTTACAACATTGCTGCAGTCTAGAACACTCTAACCAGACAGGATTAGTGTGTATGCAGCCCTTCCTTTCAGAATAATGTTCTGATAACAACCGCCTCTTGACACATGTCCAAAATACACTCTTTTCCTCTCTCTCTCTTACCCACACACACATGGGGCTGTGGGTTAGGAGAACCTCTGGAAGCTATGACTCACTGGGTTGTGAAAGAGAAGCAGAGACTGAGAATCAGTAGGGCGGTGGCAACTCCACCATGTTCTCTATAAACTTTCCCTCAACAAATATCAATGCTGTAAGTCTATATACACAGCATTGTAGTAGAGGCGTGGAGTTGACTTACTCCCCTCAGTATAGAGGTGATTTATAAATGAGGGAAAAGAATCAGTGAATAAAAACCCAAGAAGGATTTGTATTTAAACACTCAAGTATATCTGCAAGTAAAGCACTCCACTTTGTACTCCTTCGACATGTTATTACTATCACCTATGTCTTGTTTAATCTCGTTCTGTTCTTGTTAGTTCTGGGCTGTTTTCCTGTTACTCACACCTCTCACTTTTGACTTTGTCATACTTTAGACCAAAAAAGAGAAGAACAGAGCCTAACAAACTTTTATTTCATGCTAATAGATGATGGGTGGGCTTAGGAAGCTCTACTGGAGTTCTACTTACACCTCAAAACCTTTTGATTCCAACACAAGTTGGGTTCTTTGTTCTACTTGAAGTTGAGTTTTGTTTCGACTTGAATCACTATTTCATCACATTTTCTGCACGACTCAACGGCTAAAATGTAAACTGAGTCATTCAGAGTGGTTTGGTGTGAAATGCTTTGTTCTAGAGAAACTTGCCGAGTCAGAATTGTTCACAGTGGTGGTGATGGGAACCAGACGTCCACCTCTAAAAGCTCCCTCACAGAAAGTTACTACACAGAATGGTTATGAATATGCTGCCTGATGTCTGCGACATTATCTTATGGCAGCTTTATGATCTAAACCGTATTTTAGTCAGTTTATTTGAATTCATTCATGGTGAAAGGATACAAGAAGGGTGTTCTAAGGCAAAATAGTCCCCAGAGAATTATAGGTTTATGACTATTTTACCAGCATCAACGTTACATATAAAGCCTCAGAAGACACGTGTAGGATCACTGGTGGTTTTGGATAGTAAATGAAATGGCTTTATTTGTGTTGTGGACATTGTGACCCCTGGTTCCATTCAGCACCACAGTAAAGACATCTGAGTCTACAAATGAACCATTTCACATCAAACCACTCTGAAGGACTTCGTTTACATCTCAACCACTGAATTAGGCAGACATTTTGTAAAATCAGTGGAATTCCCCTTTTAGGATGGTTTCAAGCTGTTCTGCTCACCTCCTCCTCCTCCGCCTTGAGCTCACTCATCAGCGCTGGGAGAGGCCGGAGAAGCACACTGCGCATGCGCAGCGTTCGGGCGGTGCCTGAGTATAAAGTCTCCTGCAAACATTGGCATTTTTCCCCTGCAAGGCAAAAATCCCTGCTCTCACAGTTCCTCTCCGTCTTCAACAAGCGGTAAGTTCCTGCTTTAGTGTCTTAATAAAGTCGCTCTCTCTTTACATTCTGTCAGCCAGAATCTTTAAAAGAATAGAAAAGTTTTTAAACTTATTCTTTTGAGCGGCTTAAAAGCTTTGAGACTCGATCCTGTTGTGTTATTTCTGTTTCTTCATGATTTGTCCGCCTTACGTTTTACGTACGTTTTGCTTTTTAAACGATTCTCTGCGCCAACACGTTGTCCAGTTACGCATGACGCACGTTGGCCGGCACCAGGGCCAGCAAACTCACCTGCAGTGAACTACGCTGTTGAATTGACTGCAGTTGACCATTTGGTGTAGTAGCCCACAGTGTGGGTTTAGAAAGCAGCACTTTATGTCTTTTTTATTGATGCTGCTACTAACGCATTCCAGGGGCATTACGCATTCTTACGCAAGTTGCGCTGGTCAGGAAAAAAGGCCATTTGAGCTCCGCAGTCAGTGGATGGAGAAGCAGAAGAAGCTCATGGTGGACCAGAAGGAGAGAAACGAGACAAATGTCCAGTGCTAAGGCTAGCTGGTCTGCACTAGGGGGAGCGTACTGTAGTTGTAGCACTGAACATGCCCATTAGACTGACCACTTTTGTAAAATTTCTAAATAATTCAGTCCTTAAAATGTAAACAAAGTCATGCAGAGTGGTTTGATGTGAAATGGTTCATTTGTAGAGAAACGTACTGACTTAGATTTCATTACAGTGGTGATAGGAACCAGGGGTCACGATGTCTACAACACAAATATAGCCCTTTTATCTACTATCCAAAACCACCAGTGAACCTCCACGTGCCTTCTGAGGTGTTATATGTAATGTTATGATGGTGAAATAGTCATACATTTGGAAAAAAATAAGTTTTCTTCAGGGACTATTTTCTCTCACAATGGCCTGCATGTATCCCTCCACCATAAATAGATCCTGTTGATCTATTACTGTTTCTTCACTATTTGTCTGCCTTATGTCTACGTACATTTTGCCTTTAACATGATTCTCTGTGCCACCAAGTTGTCCAGTTAAGCATGATGTAATGTTATGATGGTAAAATAGTCATAAATCGGGAAAAAATATGTTTTCTTGGGGGACTATTTTGTCTCACAACGCCCTGCATGTGCCCCTCCACCATGAATCAATTAAAATGCAAACCTTTATCACAAAACAATGTGTCAGACATCAGGCAGTGTATATCTAACCATTTCATGTAGTAACTTTCTGTGAGGGAGCTTGTAGAGGTGGACGTCTGGTTCCTATCACCATCACTGTGCACAATTCTGACTCTAGATTTATCTAGAACACATATCCTACATATCATGTGTGTGTATTTTTACACTAATACGTACAAATCTTAAGTTTTCTAGTTGGTGTTTATGATGTACACCTTCCTATCACATAGCCAGTTCTACAAGGGAAGATTTGTGGTATGTACTCAAGGAATGGAGGAGGGGTTTACTTGCACGGTTGCTCTTTATGCTGAGGAGATGCCTAATTTGAATGGAGATGTGCTGTATAATTCATGAGGTTCGTACAAAATGATGTGAATGTGCAAAATGGTTTCTCCTCAGTGAGCCACCATGCCGTCTGATCTGGAGAGAGCGATGGAAACCCTCATCACAGTGTTCCACCGTTACGCGGGGAAAGAGGGCAACAGCAACACGCTGAGCCGCAGAGAGCTCAGACAGCTCATGGAGGCCGAGCTCGCCAGCTTCTTAAAGGTACAGTAGCCCGTTTTCCCTGCTCTTCATCATCCTCTTCATTCGTCCCCTCACTTCAGGCGCAGTAGCCCTTTTTCTCTTTGCTCTTTATCATCCTCTTCACTCTTCCCCTCGCTTCCTTTAGGTAGAGTAGTCCGGTTCCCCTGTTTTTCTTCATCCTCTTCACTAATTCCCTTAAGGTATACAGTAGTCTGGTTCTCCCTGCTCTTCATCATCCTCCTCACTCATTTCCTTTACTTAAGGTACTTAAGAGTACAGAAAGGCAGTGAATACAAAAGCATCTCACTGTTGATTATATCACTATTGATTATATCATCGTTGACAAGGTAATGAAGAAATCTATATTACCTTAATGCTTGATGAATAATGTTTTTTTTTTGAAAGGCCAAACAATAAAAATGGACTAAACTGAAAAAAAACAATCTCTCCAATACACTATATTGGAAAAAGACAAACAAGGATTTAAAAGACTGTATATAGTATATACCAAAAAAGTAAAATAGAAGTATATACCAAAGGTAAAATATTTGCATTGTTTTCTAGATTTCTGCAGGCATTTTTTTATCCAAATTCTGAACTATATATATATAATTTGAAATGCCTGTTGGCCTTTGCATTGTGTGTAAATTTCATGATGAATGAACCAATAGAAATGGCCCAGAATGACTTGGCAAAAATTCTGGTTCCATTGACTTACATTGAAAGTAAAGAAGGATTTTTCCTTCTTCTGTAAAGATACACATGCTTAATTGGAAATGGAAGTTAAGAAAACAAGATTTTTACCTTGATATTTTTACCCTTTTTATAGTTTCTAATTCTGTTAAAAAAGCCTCTGTAAAATAGGTTTTGTTCCGACAGTGATGGTGTATTAAAGTATATTTTTTCTGTAATAGAAACCAGTAGAAAAATTGAAAATAGGTTACAAATTTGCTTGTTAACTTATTAACATTATGCAAATTGTCAACTAATTAGAGCTGTTTCCTAGAGAAGGTCCATTTTTAATCAGGTATTTCCCTTTATATGTCCAGGACTGACCCCACTTTTAATACATACTTCTGCAACCTAAGAATAACTCAATTTGAACTGAAGTCCATGTTGTTACAGAATAATAAGCTTTATGTTGTTAAGAATGAAAGTCAGCTTAACAAAAAACTGTAAGGTAACACTTGAGAAGACCCGAGCTCACCCAACTCACAATCTCATCAGTCATTTTCTCTGTTGTGGTACCCACTTACGGATGGCTATGGCATCACATAACTGAGACGCAGAACTGGAAAACTGAGTTGGAAGAACTTTTAAGTTGTGTGAACTCTGAGGTCCTCAAGTTGAGTCAGCTCAAGAAAAGCTGTGTAATGAGTAACTTTATGATTTTAAGTTGAGTTGACTCTTCATTTTTACAGTCCTCTGGTCTGGGTTTTGAGAGGTCAATCGAGTAATCGTCACAGTCTCAGAATGCAGATGCCATTTTTAACTGATATCATTGTGTTACTTTGTAAATTTCTCTCAGGGGGCTCAGAATGTTGAGCCTCGCCCTGGAACACATTTCCCCCACCCTTTGTTCTCATTCCTCTGGCACTTGCTCAATCACTCAGTTCCTCTACTTCTCCTCCACTCTCTCACTCATAACCTTCAGTTCAGATCCCTTTTTTTTCCTTTTTCTTTTCTTTTTTAATATATTTTCTCCTCTCCAGGATGCAGGTCTGTTCCTAAACTCTCACACCAGCTCATTCATTTAGCCAGTTTGATAACAGACAGATATATTCAGACATTCTTTCTCTCACTCTTTCATCTCTTTTGCTTTGTGTCTCTCCTTTTTTCTCTTTCTTTTGCTTTTTCTTTCTCTTTTCTATTTTCTCTCACTCTTTTTTCTTTCTCTTATTTTTCACCCTCTTTCTCCCCCTCTCTTTTTTTCCCTCACCTTTTTTGCTCTCATTCTTTTCTCTTGCTTTCTCTGCCTCTTCTTTCTTTCACTCACTCCCTCTCTCTTCTTTCTCTGTCTTACTCTCTTTCATCTCTCATTCTTTTTTCTTTCGCTCCTTTTTTCTTTTTTCTTGCCTTTTTTCCTCTCATTCTTTGTCTCTCTTCTCTTTTTTCTCACACTCTCTCCTGCTTTTTTTTTTCTTCTGTTTTTCTCTCTTCTCTTATTTCTCTCACCCTCTTTCTCTAACTCCCTCTCTTCTTTCTTGCTGTCTCGTTCTCTTTCATCTCTCGTTCTCTCTTAGTTTTTTCTCTTTCTCTCTCTTCTGTTTTTTCTCTTGCCCTCTCTTTCTCACTCTCTTTCTCTCTCTCTAGGCTCAGAAAGACCCTGCCACAGTGGATAAGATAATGAAGGATTTGGACACTAACGGAGACGGAGAGGTCAGCTTTGAAGAGTTTGTGGCGCTGGTGGTCGGTCTGTCCATCGCCTGCGAACAGTGCTACCAGGTGAAGAAGTAAAAGAAGGATGAGAGAGAAGAAAGTCGGGTTTTCTACTGAGTCATTTTATAAATGAGCTTTAATAAACACCACTGCGAACAACAAGCCTGTGTTTGAGTGTGTAAATTCAAAGTCTTAAGGGTTCATAAGAGGGTTTAGTTCATGTATACACATATTCATTTCATAATAATAACTGCCCATTGGCTTCTGTTATGCAACCCCATTTCCAAAAAGGTTGTGCCAAATGTAAATAAAAACACTCTATTTCATTGAAGTTAGTACAACAAATCAAATGTCGAAACTGAAAAATATATGCCCATTTGGTTCCAAAAAAGTTTAGGACGGGGAGATGTTTGCTACTGTATTTCATCACCTCTTCTTTTAACAACAGCTGCAGTTTTGAAAGTGAAATGTTATCCCATTTTTGCTTAACAGGATTTCAGCTGCTCATCAGTTCAGGGTCTCCTTTGTTGTATTTTTCGTTTCATCATTCAGCATTAATGGTGCCTTCACAGATGTGCCAGTCACCATGTGCACTAATGCATCCCTATACCATCATGAATACTGGCTTTTGAACTGTGCACTGATAACAAGCTGAGTGGTCTTCAGCCCGGAGGACACAGTGTCCATGATTTCCAAAAAAAAGAATTTCAAATGTTGATTTGTCAGACCACAGGACACTTCTCCACTTCCCCTCAGTCCATTTTAAATGAGCTCGGGCTCAGAGAAGGTGGCAGCATTTCTGGATCCTGTTTATGTACCGTTTCTTCTTTGTGTTTTAGAGTTTTAACTTGCATTTGTGGATGCAGCGACAAACTGTTTTCACAAACAGTGGTTTTCAGAAGTGTTTCTGAAGCCATGCAGTGATTTCCTCTACAGAGTCATGTCTGTTTTAATGCAGTGCCACCTGAGGGCCCAAAGATCATGACCAGCCAATGCTGTTTTTCGGCCTTGTCCCTCGCATATAGAGACTTCCTTAGATTCTCTGAATCTTTTAATGATATTATGTACTGAAGATGATGAAAACCAAAAGTTCCTTGCTATTTTATGTTTATTCTTGAATTGTTGTACTACTTACTTAGGCAGTCTTATGCAGAGTGGTGAACCCCTACCCATTCTTACTTCTGAAAGACTCTGGGATGCTTTTTAATATCCAATCATGTTACTGACCTGTTGTCAATCAACCACCAGGTGTTTTTTTAGCATTACACAAATTTACCAACCTTTTGTTGCCCCTGTCCCAATTTTGTTGAAACGAAATGTTGGCATCAAATTCAAAATGGGCATATATTTTTCAAAAAACAATTACATTTCTTTCAACATTTGATATGTTGTCTTTGTACTATTTTTAATTAAATATAAGGTTAAGATGATTTGCACATTATTGTATTTTGTTTTTATTTATATTTTGCACTTTTCTGGAAATAGGGTTGTACTTTTGAGCCCCTAAAAACAGGAGAACACTACCTATTGAAATGCATACTGTAACAGTAAAGCTTGGTAGAGGAGGTATAATAGAATAATGGTCTGGGTCTGTTTTTCAGGCCCCTTATTTCCAGGGAAGGTTAATGTTAATGTGACAAAGACACTTTAGACAGTTATATGCTTCCTGTTCCAGCATGACTAAGCCCCTGTGCACAAAGCGAGCTCTATAAAGACATGGTTTGACAAGTTGACCTCAACCCCACTGAGCACCTTTGGGATGCATTGGAACTTCAACTGAATGCCAGGCCTTCTCATCCAACATCAGTGCCTGACCTCACAAATGATCTTCTGACTGAATGGGCACAAATTCCCACAGACACACTCCAAAATCTTGTGGAAAGCAGCCTTCCCAGAGGAACAGAGGCTGTTATAGCTGCAAAGAGGGGGGCAACTCCATATTATTGTCCATAGTTTTGGAATGAGATGTTCAGCAAGCTCATATAGGGGTGATGGTTAAGTGTCCACATACTTATGGACACCATACTTGTGGGCCATGTAGTGTATGTTAAATGTTAATAACATCCTAACAATATGAATGTTTATATCTTACACAAATTACGGTAATAAAGTTATACATTTAAACTTCTACATTTTCTTCACACAGTCAGACAGAGGCCATTACATTGCAGTGTTTAATGTATAAATCTACGAATTTGCTCAAGTAAAAAAAAAACCCAATGCTAACACGGTAGCATGGCATGGCGCTAGCGCCAAGCTAACAGGGTTAGATTTTAATATTAGCTTGAGTTAAATAAAGCCATTGTAAGCTTGTGACAGACAAGTCACCTGTTCTTTTCTTTGTCTCACTTTTTAACTAACTCCATCTGTGAAGGCTTGAATTCGTCTGTTATTATTTGAGGGTTAGCCTGTTAGCGGGCTAGCTTTCCGCTACTCTAGTGAGGCCAGAATGTGTCTAGTTACAAAGAAAATGTGTGAACCAGCTAAAGTGAGTCTGTTAGCAGCAACCGGTGATTTTCAACGTGAAATTCTTCATCTGGTTGAATTTTATGGGCACCGATTTCAACAATAACAGCTGGGCTTCTTCAAGCAGTGATTAAGAAGCCATGTTCATATGTCATTTGAAGCTCTGCACTGTCTTTAGAGGTTTATGCTCATAACATTCCTGTTACGGCCATAGTTTCATTTTCACTCGACTGTAATGACAGCTGTAAAACTACACATTGTCCCAGAAACGTCTCAGACACATTTAAAGGAACAAACTGATAACTTAGCAACTAAGCACATGTTCATTGACTTAGCTAAAGCAGTAAGAAACTGGATATTTTGTGAAGTGAAAAGGTGGACAAGATTCTGTTACTTATTAGCTATATTAGTCTTGTAGCACCAGTGCAAGACAAAAAACCAAACTCTGGATATCAAGCATCTCATTAACCAGTAAGGAGAAAACTGTGCAAACTATTAATCTGAAGTATTAAATCTGAAGACAGCTCTCAAATAATAGCAGAAATAGAGCGGTTATGTACTAAAATAACCAGCCTGAGCTCCAGTTTTTTACCCCAATCACTCTTTAGGGCAACATCTGTTTCCTATTCATTGCAGGTATGCAATCAGGTGCCAGCTTGAATGCATTCTTTGGCTTTTTTTTGCAGTATAAAAAATTCCAGCCTTGTGTTGTTCTGAAAAAGGGCTTCTTTTCCTGCACCCTTTAACTTGACAGCACACCGCTAAGCAACACTAATGTTATTTGATTTATTTTCTATTTGTCCCCAAACTCATCCCACAGTTTCGAGATATCGACACCATTCCAACTCTGGATTGGTCGGACTGAACGCAAATGGTGGACTTGTTTACAGCTTTTTGATCGGATGTACGGTTTTCATTCAATAATCGGTAAATGACGATTTCCCCCCCCCATAGCAATGAATTGGGGGCAAAAGTTTGTGCCCTCAACATATAACAACATGATACCTTAGAAGTCCGTTAGCAGCACCCTATTAAAAATATAGGGTACCACAGCAGTGACCTAGCAACTCCCAAGCAACCACCTGGGATATAATTGCAACCATCTGCAACACCATAGAAACCACCGAGCAACCACCTGGGATACATTACAGCAGCCTAGCCACACATTAGCAACCATCTGGGAAACCATGGCAACCACCCAGCAACACCTTAGCAACCACTTAGCAGCACCTTAGCAATCACATGGGATATGTCTTCTGAGTTTTGATTACATTACTGTATGGGGATGGGGCAAAATATTATTTACCAAAGATATTCTGTTGCCTCTACCCCCATCTATCATGGAGAGGATTAGCTCTGGTTGATTAGCTAAAGTGTCAAACTCAAACAAAAACGCTCTACGCTGGTCAACAAGCTAAGCTGGTTTCGAACTGGCCAGGCTGTTTTTCCTGCAGGGATGGCCAGTGGACTACACTTGCAGTAAGGGGTAAAATGTGTACAGTAGATTTTTTGTGTTCCATCATTGACTTAACTATAAAAAATCACTGTGTAATCTCTTAGTTTTGATGTCTTCTCTAGTTCTGTTAAAGAGTAGGCATGTCCAGACTTTTGACCAGCACTGTATGTGGCATTTTTCTTTTTCTGGCATGTCTGCAGTTTGTGCAAACAAAGTAGTTGCTAAGGAACTTTATTGTATGGTGTGACGCCACAAAGTAATGAAAGACACTTCTCTTTTTAAGCCCCTCAAAATGTTTCTGTGGCTCTCTCCGTGCCCCTTTCACTCAGCTCTTTGGAATACTGCACTTAAAGGAACTAGTTTGGTCAAACGTGTCTTCTATCTGTTATTTAAAGAAGTTTGTCTGTGATAACTCTTCTTTATTTGCTGACTGCTTTAAATGACTTAAGCATTAAGCATACAGTATATTATAACATGGCTTAAGCGGCCTATCAACACAAGGCGAAGGGCAATGAAAATATGTAAAATTCACACAATCTCTTTATTTTGAACCATACAAAGATCAGAAAACTGCACTTTAAGCAGTGACCAAAGGCCAGAATACTGATGAAAGAAGCACTGAATGGCAGCAAGAGTTTTCCCAGATACCACGTAGATAGCAAGTATATGTTGGCCCAACGTTGGCTCAATGGCATTGCTTATGTTGGCATAACACTGGCAAATCAGGTTAGGGCAACATTATTTTGTTGGCCTGATGATGGCTGGCAACTAATATTAGGCGGTGGGCCCACATTGGCCTGACATTGGCTATCAACCAGTACTAGAGGGTGGGCCTATGTTGGCCTGATGTTGGCTGGCAACCAATGTGAGACGTTGGGCCTACATTGGTCTGACGCTGGCTGGCAACCAGTATTAAATGGTGGGCCTATGTTGGCCTGATGTTGGGGGCAAACAGTATTAGGTGTGCATTTGTTGGCCTAATGTTGGCTGGGAAGCAGTATTAGATGGTGGACATACATTGGCCTCATGTTGGCTGGCAACAAATTTTATACGGTGGGCCTACGTTGGCCTAATGCTGGCTGGCAACAAATATTAGACAGTGGGCATATGTTGGTCTGATGTTGGCTGGCAACCAATGTTAGGCAGTGGGCCTAAGTTGGCCTGATGTTGGGGGCAACCAATATTAGACGGTGGGCATACATCAGCCTGACATTGACTGGCAACCAATATTAGACGGTGG